ATCCTACTATCTGACATTTACCACGAAGCGCAGCTTCTTCGGCCAATCTCGATCCACCAAGTGCGACAAGCATATAATGGGTGTGTATAATCAAAATATTTCTCTTGGCCTTTGCAACATATACTGAAAAGTGTGTAAAATACTGTCCAAGTACATATAATGCTTGAAAGGATACAACGGTTAAGGCAGTTATTTGTGCTAGCGACATAATAATTATGTAATTTGATTTGAACTCTGATCCAAATTATATGTATGTAATGATTTGCTAACCTACTCGAAAAATTTCGCCCAGGCAATAGCTGCAACATCTAGTTAGTTGCCTCTTTGTACCTTGCACCTCTTCGCGGAAAAACTGTACAAATACTATGCATACAAATACACGATGTTAATTGCTCGTGCTTTAAAAAACTAAGCTGATCCTACTTACGGTGGCTAGGCCGTTAATGGAAGTTGTGAGAAACATTACTCGTAGGTTATAGATTTAAAGCGTTTAAGGTGTTTTGCAGCCCTCATAGAAGGTAACTTCTATGTTTGTTTATAAGTTTAATGCCTCGAGTTAACGGAGTGTAATTTTTGAAAATGTACACCTAGGTAGTAGCATATATTTTGAAATTAAAAAGAAAGTATCCATAAAATTTTTACGTAGATAGCGTTTTCGCATAAAAAACCGCTACATTTTCACCAAACCTTTGCATTGTATAAAATATAAATTATTTCTCGTTTTTACAGCGGCTACGTTATCAGTAAGCCTCATTCAACTGGCTATTCTACTTCATATAACATATTGTGCAAGCGCGTTATCTGGACCACCTCAATCGAAATACTGTGTGTTATTATTGCCATTTCCTTGGCTTAATGCTTCCTCGAAACATGGATTACGCATACAATTACATATGTTATTATGCATTCGGTGACGTTCACGTAGATACTAGCACCATCAACGCACCATCACGTTGTGTGCGCGTGTGGGTCGTCAGTGCCTAGAAACCTCAGTTTGTTGAATGAAATGACAGCTGAAACTTTGCTCGGACAGAGCAAGTGAGCAAGCCTTTGATAGCCAATCCCAGTTGGTCAACATTGTAGGTGCCTTCTGGGACAAATAGAAAAAGGTGGGCTCGAGCAACTGGGATTGACTAAAGGACTTAAAGACAAGTAAAACAAGGGCTTTTAGTTTTACGGCCGGTGCTGCTGCTGCTAAACATGACTGCAGCCGGTTCAACGAAGAAGCCAACTAGTATTTGTTGAGCCACGAGCGATTCGCTTTTGACGAGACTGGCAATGCTATTTATAGAAGGTTATGGTTCTTGCAAGGAGAATACTGGCCAGCATGTTCTAGTTCAGAACAAAAGATATCCTCGGTTGGTGAATTTCCTTCACATGTGTCACAAAATAGTGTTTAATACATTAACACTATTTTGTTCGTGTCTGTTAAGTTTGGTGTTTTACAATAAAAGATATGCAAATGCTGAGCCAGCGATAGCCCCATGGTCATGGCTACCATGGCAATGCACTTGAAAAATGAGACTATGCTGCCACCACTCATATTACGTTAAGGTCCTCTATTTTATGTAAACTAAAGAGTAAGACAGCCAATGAGTACAGGAAACAGTTGCTCTAATTGCGGGTGCGAAATCGATCATTTTCTGAAATATTAGCTAAAATTCAAACCCCCTACATTGGTACAGATATGCGGTGGGACTGTTGCAACATGGAAAAATATCGTCCATACGAACGTGGCTATGAGGATTAATTGTTAAAATATAGATTAGAGCCAAAAAGCTATATTGTCATTGGGTCATGTGAGAATCATTGAAATGCAGTCCGAAAGCCACCTCCCGTATTTCAAAGCATTTCGAATTTGATTTCGGTGGTCAAGAAAGGCCGCCGTCCATCCAAATGACTTTTTTCGTGAAACTGAATTGTTCCTTCCATAATGCAGCTGCCTTTTCCAGCTATATGGGGTCGACGTGCTTCATGATGATTCGCCAGACCTAAGCTCATTGTAAACCGTATCTTTACTGGTTTACGAAACACATAATGCATTCTTTATCCGTTTCTATTTTCGATGCGCCAAATCAGACTCACCTTTAAAATCTATTTGTAATCTTTGTGACAAAGCAATTTATACACGTTATTCACACGGTTTATAACAGTAAAAAGCTAGTTAGTGAGAGCAGGCTTTTCTCATTGGCCAACAAAGTACAACTTTGCACACCATCTTAATACTGAATGCAAAACTTTATATGATGATTTTTTTAGCAGGCGCTATTCAAAAGATTTTTTAGGTTTTATCTAGTTGTTGAGATGATTGTCCTGAGCGGAAAACGTCGAGATCAAAATTTTTTGCACGAAAATGCAATGAAGTATGAAATGAGCCGGTGCTGTCTCGAAAGGTTTCGGCAAACGGGTGTACTGCAGTGTGTCTGTATCTCATGCCAAAAAAAATCGCAAGATTTTGCCTCCTAGGAGCGTCTGTTTTGAATGCCCCAAAATTCTTCTAAACTAACACGTTGAGTTGCTTTCAATGCGACTTTTACTGATCTACTGAAGGTTCTGTCAAAACAACCAGCAGTCCTCGTGAATAACAGATAAAGGACCCACAATCAGCGATTTCAACTGATGGCGCATTGTTATGCAATTGTATGGTACAGTAGCAAATGGATGATAATCTAATTTGTTGAGGTACTTGAAACAAACGGGGTATTAGCTTCGTCTTTGATTGTCGTTTTTTATCATATTCGCAAATGCGTCGTCTCCGGGCTTCTTATCGGCCATGTTGTCAGTGTATCTGTCATGCGCCTCTGAACTGCCAATGAAGTTGTAGTCAGGAATAAATTTACCGTTTTGATACTCAGAATAGCGGTCTAAACAGATGGTTCTTTTCGAGTCGTCTCCGAACCTGTGTCGTGTTAGTAAAAGCGAAACACAACTACATGACGTGCAAACTTTTCGACTGATCAGTCAGTGGTGTTCTGAAACGGCTGAGCGATCTGCCATCATTACTACCAAACGAGATTTACCCTTTTGTAGTAATATTAAGGTGTTTTCGCGATACATTTAGTCAATGATTATCGAATCATATCTAGTAGGAAATGGTGGCGTCTAATTTACATAACTCGTCTTTGATGACGTTACATAAACTTGTTACTGATTTTGATCATATGACCTGTCTAAACGAATATAAATCACTCTGTAATTTGTTTATATTAATTGAAAATACATCTTAAAGTAGGGCTGGTTCCAGCTTCTGCAAAAAGCATCGTAAACAGTTTTCTATTACAAGAAAAGCAATTTTTCAGTTGGTGATCTGAAGAACAATGTCTTCGGTTACTTCAGATATTACAGTAGCGTGTCGAAATTTGACCAAAAAAAAAAGACCGCCGTCCTACGGATGCTGTAAACAGGTGCTATTTTAAATGAACGAGCGAAATGAACGTTATCCTGTTTTTCAAGATTTTCCGCCGCGATAATGCTGGACTTGGGCAATGCCATTTTTATTTAGTACAGTAATAGAACGCTTCACGAAATTGAACGCACAATCTCTTTGTTTCGGGTCCTGGGTCGATGTTGATACAGCCTGTTTCTGAGGCTATTTAATTTGGTTTCGTATTTTCTTGCTTATTGCGATGTCAGTCATTTGTGATCGAACAAATAGGCAGTGCCTTGCCTTTCCCCGATATGTTCGGACTATAGATGTTAACTGAGTTCGCATTCGGATTCATTTAAATATAACGAAACGTCGTCATTTTGTGACAATACGCTGGACTAGAACGTAATCGATCCCGACTAGGTTTACCGCTCTAATGCTTGTTGTCAAATGCGGTAGTCTAAACAAATGCAGTGTAGCCGTTATCAATGATAAAATATAGGAACAGTTTATAAGGCATTTTATTTTTCTAACCCCATACAGACACTAATTAAAACCCAGAGTTGCGAATCGAAAAGCTATAAATCACGAATGTCAGGACATTATACTACTGGATTGGATTAGGCGCACCATGTACAAGTCAGTAATTTGCTAAGCCAATCCATTACCGCCGCGTTTCACTTACGCCTACCAAGAAAATTGAATTAGTAAGTTCACATTATTTGAAGATAGTAATAGAGATAACTCCTAGTTTGATTTTCAATGCATAGTTAAGCAGTGGTATGAATAATTGAGAATAGAATGAATTGCGCCTAAATGTTTCATGCCCCGTGGAAGCATTGCTAAAATCTAGGACGATTGAAGGTGTGAATGCAGGATCAATAGCTTCAGTAGGTTACGTTATGAATTTATGTTATGTTTCATAGTCATTTCGCTCGAGAATCCAGTAGAGCATTGACATTTCTTCAATAAGTGAGACCACTTGTATTATACCTGTACAGCCACTTGTATAACACTCTATTAGCCATGGCTTGGACGAGAACTCAGGCTCACGGCGAAATGTCTGCGGCTGGTCTGTTTTCGTCTCTGGCCATCGGACTATATGAAGTAGAAAAATTTTCAGCAGATTTCTGAAATATCTGTAACTGAATTCAAAAAGTCAACATATGAATAAATTTACAATTGTAGTTGAACTACAAAGCAATGATATGATCAATGTGCACTACCAAGTTTAGAATGTATTATATTAATAAATAGCCAATAAAAGCCAAGAGCTAAAAGGCTCCGTCTAAGGGCAGCTCTTGATGTCTTGTAGATGTTGCAACCACGGCAGATAATTTCGATAAAAAACGAACTCACCGTATACCACTTAGCTAACAGACAAATTGATTTCTTTGTGAAATCAATGCAATTTATTATAAACCTAAGTTTTCGGCAATGGATTAATGAGTAGTCGATTGATAATTGTGCGTAACAGGAAGTGTTCTCTAAAATGTTGTGAATTTTGCCTTATAATTAAATGCACAGAGGTATCTGATGCACTTGCTATTGCGACTGTGAAAAGCGCAGGACAAATTTTACTTGAAATTATGAGTCGACTTATTTAGAAATGTTAATTATTGTTTCTTTACAGAGCTCCGAACGCTCGTTCGCCGCGGGTGTTGAGGCTCGTGTTAGCGGAGCGTCGTCGTGCCCACCGCCCGGACAGCGTCGAGCTTCACGCGGCCCCTGCAACTTTGTTCCAGGCGCCTACAGCGCCGCTGTGCAATCGGTGGCGGACTTTGAGGCTCGAGCTTCAAGCTCTTGTCTCGCCTGTATGGCAACAGACAGCCTGGATCACTTATCTTTGGTTTACTATTGCCAGGCCCAGCACGCAGCACCTTAGGGCATTGCTAGAAGACGCCGGTCAGATAGCTATAATCAGCCTGAAGTTGGTGCATAGGAAATAGTTAGCTGCTGGGAGGATAAAAAAGAGAAGGTAAACAGATAGATTTAGTTAAAAAAGAATAACGATCAAATTCGTCACGCTACAAAATAAGATGCCTTTGATCCCCATACTACTAGCTAGAATTAAGAACGGCACTAAAAAGTATTAAATTATTATGTAATAACAGACTTGTGACCAAACTCGGACTCAACGAGCTCGCTCGGTAAAACTTATACATACTGGTACACCCATAAAAACAGGGCCATATGTATAAACAAAAAATAATGACTTACACATAGATAGCGACCGTTATAGCGAAATCTTGACCACATTATTCTGACAGCGAGCTTTTAATAAGAGCGGACAAAACGAAAACGCGTTCGATGTTGTATACAGTCCGGTAATCAGAAGAAACAATAAAACGTTTAAAATTCAGACTTTCAGGTCGGTGTTTGACAGCCATTAGCATATCCAACCAATGATCTGCCAACAGCGGTCGACAGATTCTTATCTATGTGTATATACCTAATTTCGTTCAAGTTTTCTCTTCATATCGGCTATTGTAGATTAGTGAGTGTTTTTTTTTCAAAAAACAGGCAACAATATACAAAGGGAGGGAAAGTTGACAGCCTGCTTTCCGCAAGCCTACTTTTGCCGCCTATTTTATCTCGTGGGTTACCCGAATTGTCCCATATATAACGTCATGATATAAAAACGGTATAGTTAAGGTTAAACAGACGAGGATCGCCCCTTGACAGGAACGACCAGTTTTCTAAATCTTCAATGAATTTACCATCTATTTTTTGCGACACTGTATCGATATGCATATACATTATGTATGCTTCGTAAAGACTATTTAACGGATACGTAAATATGAGTTTTCTTTTGAGAACGAAAATTATCACCGGCACAGTAATATCTATTTTTTTGGATATTGCCGTTGATTTATGATACTCGTGTAATCTGAAGTTGGCCAAAAAAAACGGCAAGTTATATTCCTTACGGTAGCCAAGTAGTTGACCACCGATAATGGTGCGAAGCGAGGGTCACTTACACTGTTGTGTATGATCAGCCATATATCATACTGCCGCCTCTTGCGAATAGCTATCGGTTTCGTACACAAATCTTCTCTAGATAGCACTCGAAAGATCCCTTACTGTTATCGCCTATTGTCTTAATGGCATGAGATTGGCCGGGCGGTAGGTAATCAATAGAGCATTTACTAAATCGTCTTTCTGAAATCAAGTAGCTATGAAAAGGAATCGTTGTAGTCTCGCATTCAAACAGTTTTAGCTCACTACCTGTACAGGCACGAGTTTCACTGTATTTGTCTCTATCAATGCTTTGATTGGTGCTACATAACTGTATGGGGTCGGAAGCAATCAGGAGATACTGCGATTGGATTCAACATCAATCGATTTCCCTGCTATGTCACACCGTACGTCTTGAGCTGCATATTCTATAGCAATCGACTGATTGATCCCAGCTCTCGTTAAGGTCAGCCAATGACATTCAGCCAATTGATAAGCAACATAAAAAAGCAATCCTATAGTGGCTGTGATGTTAATATCCTAACCCAAGCGCTGCTCGATCCATAGCTAACAGTGTGAAGAAGTACTTTACGTTAAGTGGCACGCGTGTACCATGCGGGTTCTGTCGAAGGTCCCTGGTGGCACACGGTAACCGTTTAAATTCGGTTAGTTCTGTTAAATTTTGAAAAATAAATTTCAAAATCACGTTTTATACCAATTTAAACAAACATTTATTAAGCGAATTAGCTGTGTTAGATCTTATTAAATTTATTGTTTAATTACATATATTCACGGCCACATCGGGTCCTGTTATTATGCTATCCGACCCGTTTGACTTTTCGCCAGTGATTTCTGGCAAATCGATATTACACGATAGTTAAGTGCGGACAGTTTCATTGTGCGGTAAAATAATGACACAGACTACAGGTCCTGCACTAATTAGCGCTCTAGTTCGTTCCGTGTAAGGGCAGAGCGTTACAAGCGAAGATATACCGTCGTAAGTGCTGAGCGACGGCATTTAGTAAAGGGCTGACACACAAGCTAGTTGCTTGTGGCGTCGTTCAGCGCTTGGAGTCTGTCTATTTTAAGGTGTCTCTCGTAGATTTGTTGGAAGAAAGGGTGCTATGGATGGTGTAATAGACTGTCTTAGTCAGCGAAAAGATCCATTGCAAATAGTCAGCGTGACGACCAATGAATATTCGACACGCTAACGAAGGCGCCGTTTTATTCCCAGTGGTCACCTCTCTAACTTGACCCATTCATTGTATCGACTAAGTGGGCTGTATAGCACATATAACTGAGGCCAACACAGTCAACGAAGTTATTATTTGCTGCCATTGTCGTAGAATAAGCGGTACATATGATAAGTTCCGTGGTTATTGTTTAGTTATTGTGATAACCACAAATAGGTAGTGGCTGGCCATGGTTGCATTCTTTAAAGCTGTCGCAGAAATATCCGGGGAACTAATAGCCGGTATCTTTTCTCTCAGTGAGAAAGTTGTCTAGTATATAGAACGGCGTATTTCCGACTCAATTGTGCTAAAAATCAGCGCTGCTAGATATATCGCGGCTGCATCTATCCATTACAGCTCTGAGAATCAGAGATATGGGACATCAGATTGAAATGAAATCGTTGCTGATAAGAGTCAATCATTGCCAGTGCTAGTTCATAGCGAAACCTACCACATCAAATCTATCTCTTCGTTCCCTTAAGTAACTTCGTATGCTGAAAGTTAACAAAGGGTGTTTAAACCTTTGTTAACCTTCAGCATAAGACGTTTGCACGTCATAATATTACTAGGCTGTTATAAACGAGTAAGCGAAATTGAAAAGTTGAAATATTCAACTTTTAAATTAGTTAGGCTATAATGGGGACTTTTTGACGCTCAATAAAAAATACTGTTACGTTTTCTATACATTTGTCTCAACGCCCCTGCATTGATAAACAGCCATGTACCCATTATTGGCGTTCCCAAATGTACTTTCTCTATATAGAGGAAAAAAGCCATCTAACAAAAAAACAATGGGATATTCTGGCCTACAGGTTGCCCTCTTTAGGGCGTAGAAAGTAAAAATACACGCGTTTATATCTGCACAATAAACGGGAGTGTAGGGAACAATTGGGGCATGACGATAAGGTCTTGCGTTGCTATCAAACTGCGTGATGTTGGTTGCCCTATCCACAAATATTATGGGAAAACTCGAGATAACATTAGTTGTTTCGTTTTCGGCATGTATCTCGCCTTTGATGTTCACGGCAAGTACTACTATTATCTTACGCCCAACACTGCAACCGAACTCTCTCCGAATTTTTTCCAGCGTGACGCCATCCTCTCGCCTAGTTGCTTTCCGGCTGGCAGTGAAGATTGATCCAAGAGCCCAAAAAGCCTCGTCGATGACGGTCATACACTTCAGGCGGGTTTATTGTTAATTAACGTTCTGGGAATTACACGTGCAAGATGCCACATGTAATTTTCGCTGGCTAAAGTCGATTCACAGGAAACTTAATGAGTTTTCTGTGGATGGACTTACTATCGACAAAGTTATAACCTATAATTTTGTGCCATTCGCATTTGAAACGTCATATTTGATCGAGAATCTTCAAGCTCCACGTAGTAAATCGCCTCAATATGTCCTTCTCTTCTGGGTGCTGACATCTGGTGACCTTCTCGCAAATTATCGTTCGTAGAATGTCTGCGTCAGAACTTATTCGCTGAACGTTGTTATTCGAGACTCAGATGTTTTCCTTTAAACTAAGACGATGTTAATTTATAGCGCTTCAGAACGCCGGTGTATGTATCATCCACGTTTCGTGTCCTCGCGGTGCGTAGATGAAAATATTTCGACTATGCGAATCATTGTAGAAAGTCCATACAATCGAGTCCTGAGTAAAAGCTGTCGGGGTAAAAGGTACCATCTTTGATGGACACATAAACACAACCGCAGCACAAACTGTCCGTCAGACCAGTCTGCTCTAATAAATTCGCTACGCTGTGTTTTCTTACAGGTAATTCCGCAGGCATTTGAAAAGCTAGTCTTTCTGATCATCGTCAATGTGAATGTGATGAGAAATCCAAGAAACAAGCCAGAGTGGCACTCGAAAGGTTAATAATAATGATGTCTGGATAAAGCATTTTTTCAAACAAACACAAATGTGTGTTGCATTCGTAAGCCGCATTTTCATGTGGCAACCCCAGTACAAAATATACAACTAATTTGAAGTGAACGGGTTGGATTAGTGAACCAGTTGTTTCTACGGAGTCTGCTAGTAGTTAGTGACTCCTCGTGACAGAAAGTTGTTTGTTGTGAGTGTTGAAAGTTAGTAATTAGTTTTACTAACTAATCACGGAGCCGCCAGGAAGTTTCACGGATAGGAGACGAGAATTATACAACGGCTACAGCTTTATATACAGACCTTGATTATTGTAAGCAGGTCCCTCTTTAACGGTCAATATTAATCGCACAGCAGAAAGTCAACTGTTTTTTGCTGGTAACGAATCATCTGGCACTACTGAATCGGACCTTGCGTCGCTTCGTCTGCTCCAAGCACCACGCATGGCTCAGACGTCGCCGTGGCTCCCTTGTCGTCGATGACGGCTGCCGCTCTGTCGCCGCTCGTACATCCCGCCACCATAGAGGGAACTCTGCATAGCGTACGTTCGCTTTCAAGTCCTGCAGTTCGGAAGCTTCACGGATTGATAGGTATGTGTAATCACCTAGTGTGTATATATATAGCACACAATAGTATTTGGTCTACAGTCTACGAATGTAATAAATTGTCGTTCCAAAGGCAAGCCGTCAAAGTTCAGGTCAATCATTATCAAGACGCTCCAGAAGTTTAAGTTTTATTGACCATGTTAGCTTGTTACCTTTGTTTGTATACTAGTATTTTGTATAGACATGGGGAGACTGAATTGCATAGCAGGCTTTTTACACTTTGTATCCTTTTTCGTGTTTTTCCCGTATTGGAGCAAATCCCATGTTGGGCGTCGCACATTTTCAGTGATATTATGTATATATATCACTAATTTATAGATTCTAACAAGAATAAGGCGTGTTCATTTATAGCCAGCGAAAAAAACGTTTCCTTTATCATCCTTATGCTCTTCGTGTTAAATGAAGGATGCTGACTAGAGAAGATCCAAGCAGCCTCTTCTACACGAAGAAAGCGATGCTCATTCACAGGACCGTTGTTGTTTTTCTAACCAGCACTTACGGCCTGTTTGTAGTGCTGACATGATGACTTCGAAGGACAGCTATTACGATCTACGTATCAAAGTCAAGCTCTCACGCCCGAAAGCATCGCACCTGTCAAGAATTGGTCTTTACGCGAATGTACTTAACATACATTGCAGTCGAGTTTGGTGCCTTACTACGATGCAGTGTGCTGATATATCAAAATACAGTGCGCTCGGATAGATCCATTCCAGAGCATATTCTCTATCGAGACTCCTGTGGACTGTTTCTGTTTAGTAGACAAGATGGACTTTACGTGTAGAAATGTCCTGCCCTGAAACGTTTTAGGTTCATTTGTCTGTTGTGATTTAACACGTGGCGACGATTGCCAAGCGTAAGATCTGCAGATGGAATAGAGATGTAAATATCTGCATTTAATTAAAGTTCGTGAACAGTAAATATTCTTCAATAGCTGTAGTGTATTAAATAGAAGGCGTCTTAATCTTCGATACAACTTGGCCGATGTTTCCCATTGACTCACCTTGTTGTTTTAAATATATTCTTAACTCCTGGATTTGTACAGTGAAGGCAAGCGTGGTATCTCCAGGGGGCGGTCCTATCGGCAACTCGATGCGTCAGAAGGGCAGCATTTCTCTTGGGGCCGTCGGCTCCGCTATTAATCTCCAGAGGCCTGGTCCCTCAGAGTTCTGCTTCAAAGGGTATAATTTTCTCGTCACGCATAGGCCCACCGACGCCACCCTGCCAACCTACGTCGAGGTACGTACATTAGGCCATGATTGGGATTGCTGATAGGAACGACGTCGAGCGACACTTTGCAGCGTCAATGTCAATGTGCTCAATGTCGGAAAAACGTCTCACAAAGCTCGTCAGAGCGTTGCGAAGCAAACAAAATTCTTTTAGGCCTATTGCTTTATCGACACTCTATAGGGAAACATGTTGACGTATGTTCTAAATTAAGAGCAGTTCATAGCCTTTCGAACGACACAGTTGTTTTCATTTATTCGCTTTAGATTACAGAAGATAAAATTTTGTCCTTGTATCTAACTGCTAGATGGCCATGCTTTGCCTAAGTGGACACTTCGTCTTTTAATGTTTTCAGTAAAAAATAGCACGTAAGATAAATGTAGGCTTGTACTGCTGATATTCAATCTTCAATTCGTTCTGGTAACTGCAGTCCAATATGTGTAAATATGCGTAAGAACAGAATAACTGAGACAACTGCAAGATCCTTTATTCATCGCCTGTTCAAACCGACGACTTTGCAGGAGTTGAAGAAGCGACACGTGACGGATGTCGTTCGTGTGTGCGAGCCGACATACCAAACAGAGCTACTCGAAAAGGAAGGTATTCGAGTGCACGACATGCAATTTGAGGATGGCTCCCCACCCCCAGCCGCTGTAGTTGATGAATGGCTTGACCTAATCCGCAACCGTTTCAAGGAGCGACCTGACGCCTGTATCGCCGTCCACTGCGTCGCGGGACTTGGCAGGTACATTTAACTATACTATTTATATATATATATATAACACGAATTATATATATAATTCGTGTTAGCCGAAGGTGATAATAAGGTTGTCGTAAGGGTTCAAGTTTCTCACGATCCTTGCAACTCACGGTTGACAATAACTGGTAGGGTATCTTGTATAGAAGTACCACGTAACCAAAAAGAAGCATGTATGGATGCCTGGATTGAAACAACTAGATGCCCTTATAATTATCGTAACGCATAACCGCACTGTTTAAGACCAATATGGGACACAATGTCATATAAGCTAACGTCTCTCTATTGTGGCCGCTTTATAGGGCGCCGGTTCTGGTGGCGGTCAGCCTTGTGGAATTAGGTATGAAGTATGGCGATGCTGTGGAACATATTCGTGGCCGGCGTAGAGGCGCGTTCAACGCCAAACAACTAAGCTATCTCGAGAAGTACCGTCCGAAAAATCGCTTAAAGCAGCGGGCGAACTCTGCCGGAAGTCAACAGCACAACTGCTGTATTCAGTAAGCGATAGCGGCAAAATATCGTCATCACCACCATCATCATCGTCATTATCGTCATCATCATCATCATCATCATCATCATCACCATCGTCACTACGGTGCTATCTCAAGTCCAACCTTAAGTGGATCTGTGACTTCAATTAATGCAATTTAACGTCCTTAATATAAGGCGCGTGCGATTCGGCTGAGAAGGAATTCGTCTGTTACAGCTTTTTATTGAAAACACAATTTTCATTTAGAGGAAAACTCCGATCAGTTAATGAAGGTCGACATGAGCGCAAACTAATACATATGATTTCAGTGTTGTTTTTGATGAATATTCGATACTAACCAAACTATTACACTAAAGAAGTCCGTACCTACTCCTGATGTATATAATGACATAACGGCAAATTTCAAATAGAGATAAGGGGCAACTCTTGACACAGCCAGTTAGACAGTCAAGCTCTCACAAGTCTTACGCTCTGTTCAGCACAGTGGCTATCCTTATGCAGGAACGTGATACAGTTGATTTGCTAACTCGGTAACTCAGTGACTCGGTACTGACGAGCCAACCTTTCATTACGAGCTGCGGACGAAGCTATACCTGATAAATGAAAATTCACCGACCAACTCAGCGTCGAATAAGTTAACATGTGGTACTTTAAAGCTATTCCGTTGGTACCACTTGCTTGCTGGGGAATCCACTCGGAGATCGAGTTGTTTGGAGGTGCCTTTAATCTACTTGATTAATCAACTGAATTTTCACTTCTCAAGGCAAGCGACTATATACGAGAAGGTTACAAACACAACGGAGAGCTATTGTTCGTATAGGTCACGAGCCCGATGGATCTGTTATAAATGAATGATGACGACACAATATTTACCTCGAAAGCACATCATAGAAGTTATAAATCACGTGTTAATCTCTGTATGGTTTTAAAGATTGATTCGCATTCAATGCTATGTTAGCAGTGGTACGCGTCTGCAATCCATAAAGGCATCTGACTGGATAGCGACTGTCTACCACAAGCAGTAAATTTATAACTATTATAGGATATTCGAATTCATTTTATCTTTTTCCTTTTTTCTGGTCTTCGTTTTGACATGACGCTGTAGCGTCGTATCTTTTGGTGTCTCCCAGGACACATATTCAAGAGCGCACGATGCCAGATCGCAAAATGTCCGACTTTTATCTTCAAACTGTCTATTTCTGGATTGTTCATATGTTGTGAACAACGTCAAGCTGTTGACGCCTTCTTTTTTTATTTCGTTTTTGTCTGATTTCCTGGGAAAGCAATAATTTATATACAGGGGGTATTAATTAATAATAGTACTTTTAATAGGTTTTGTTGATATTTTTACTCCAGCGATGTCCCGCCACTACCATCTACATGGTAAAGACGGAAAGGCCTTCCCGTCAGCATAAAATATATTTTGAAAAGTTAGCGTCTTCTGCACGTCTGTAAATCAACATCTGAACCGATTATGAAATAAAGTGAAAGACATTTCGTAAGAAGTATTATAATACTTGTATTATTTTGTCAGCTGAATATATAATTATAATAGTAATATAATCACGCAGTGTGGTAATGTGATATATTTGTTTGAGTATTCGTCCATACTCAAACAAATGTAATCAAACAGTCATAGAGAACCAATCACTAATGAAGAAGGCTGTTGATTGAGACAAGGCCGACACTTCCTGCTACAGAGTAATGGGATAGGTTGATGTGACGAATATAATGACGGGTTTTATTAGGGGAACTCCTGCCGTATTCCTTCATATCTAAGGAGTCAAATATGTAAGATGTAGATTCGATCGAATCTTGTTTGCAATGTAACTAAAAGGGGACCTTAATAATGGCAAAAATACAAAAATGCAAAAGTGGAATAGTGACTTAAGCAAAAGTGGTCTTAATCGAGTTACGTAGTCTTTAGTGATTTCCAGAATGAACCATTTCTGCATAACTTGATTCCATGCTACCAAGCGTTTCTAAGCAAAAATATGTGTCTCTAAACGTCGTCTGCAAAATAATCGAAATCCGTGAAGGGAGTTCAACGAGGGACATAATGGGAGCATTCCAGTGGCAAATTTATATCTGAAATATATAGATAATAAATATAAACGAATATTATATACGATGACTGCTCCGAACGTACGTCATATTGAGTTTTTAGGTAGCGAAGTGGATGTTTTCAGAGTGCGCAAATACCTTTTAACTAGATGATTTTGTCGGACAGGTTTGTTCTACGGTCTATATTTACTTGTAAACCTCCTCCGCAGAAGCATGGGTTTGTTGAAACTAATTGAAATCTACTTCTTTATGTCATTCTCAAAACAGTGATGAAATAATAATGACGAGTTTATAGTGAATTCATTTATCTGTATATAGTAATAAAATACGCACGTTGAACCTAAGTAAAAGCTATTTCAGGGGTACATCTATTTTATTTATTATATATTCTATTTTATTTATTTATGACAAAGCTTCAACTAGATCAAATACGCAGAAAGCTGAATAACTCATAGCAGTTGCGTACATTGTATATATATTGTACCTGTATTGTTGAACCTGTTGAATAAGTTCGCACCCGAATAGTTGCGTAGATACGTACTAACTCTAGCCTTACAAGTTAATAACATGCTAGGTTTAGTAACATGCACACACCACGGGTCTGCGCATGAGCAAAAAACCGTATAGACGATGTGGGACAAAAATGTGTTTGTCATCCAACAATGTTTGAGTGATCACTATTCACGGACTGCCCGGACTACTGCCAGAATCAAACAAAACGATTGACAATTGTACGCCAAGAAAATGAGCACCTTTTGGCTTTTCGAAAGCAACTTTTCCTATCCGTAGTCTATAAGGTTTATTTTCAAAAAAAGTTATTAGCGAAACAGCGAATTTCCGAAATTTTCTGACTTTTCTGAACTTACACAATTGAACATATCGTCTACTTCTAGAAACTGTACACTTCTAACACGGGTGTTTTAATTGGAATGCTCTATACAAATATAAGTCGCAGAAATGTATGCTATTCCCCGACAAAACTTCCAAATCTAAAAACGTTTAGTGGTCACTAACAACTACAATTTACTAGAACAGTAATTAATGTTTTTTCTTTATACTTTCATTTGTTTTTCTTTTACCTCACGTGATTGTCCATTACCATCTAGGCCTGACCAGACAAATCATCGAGCATCTTTCCCCGCGCTGCTTCACATTCCGCCTGCAGGGTTCGCGCCAAAGTTTCAAAATTCTATATTATCGTAGTCTATGTTACTATATAGATTGAAAACCAGTCCTCACTTCACACTACTAAATACAAGACGTAATTAACTTCGGTTAACACTGCGTCTTTTTTTACCCTTCTATTCGATAGAGACGACGACATGATTGGAATAATATACACCACTTGTTTCGTTTCGGCTATCTTTTTTTTTGATTAAAACTACTCAAATTTGTTGCAAACCTAGATACTAAACGTCCGGGGAACTTCACTTGTTTTTACTCTCTGACTCACCGTTTATCTTATTTTTCCCTAAAGTCAGATCAGTCGAATCAGAGAGAGCAACAGAGAGGGATAGAGGAGGGGAGACAGGGAGAGCGACTTTGTGAGACGCCCCCTGGTGGCCAGCCATTTTGTGCCCGTCAGGTTGTTGTGTGTGTCTGGGTACTGCTGCTACTCGTAAATTAGCCTGTGACTGGTACGTGTCTGGGTGGAGTGAGTTGTATCTCTGCCTCTGCGAACGTGCAAGTGTCTCGCAGGCTCGCTTTCTGCCTGCTTCTTACTGTCGTGTTGTAGACCTCGTTGTCGCCGTTGTCGTCCGCAGCAGGAGCAACTCCGTATTGTCGGTCTGTCGAGCTATTCGTGTGTTTTCGCTAGATTCCGCGGACCGAACAGTCCGCCTCTGCTGGTGCTGTTGATGTGATGGTGACTACTAGAGGTTAGGTACTGCTGTGGACTGTGTGCGGTTCGTTGTGCCTGCCTGCCTGCCTGCCTGCCTGTGTGGCTGTGAGTGTGTGCGTCGTGCTGCGTCCGGTAGTCGGGTGTCTGCCGTGGGCTGTGTGTATCTACTGCATATAATTGTAGTAGATAGATAAATGTCTTTGTTGCGTGGCGTCGTGCAAGTGTGTTGTCGCTGAGCGCGATTTATTTCGCTATACTATCGCCGCCGCTGCTGCCGCCGTCGCTACCAGTCGCTTCAGCGACTACTACCAATATTTTACCAGACGTGGCGAAGGTATTATTTCAACGGCTGGTCTCGGTCACAAATAGTAAGTAGCAGGCGACCCGTGCGTACGATGTATTCGTCATTCGGCGATAGCAGTGAAATCAGCAGTGCGAGCCTTGTGGAGTAGTAATAGGACAGAGGTGGAAACTCATGCTTCCGATGATCTAATCCGAACCGAGCTGCTTAAAATCCGGCTAAAGTTCGCGCTAGAGAGCTAGTCGTGCTCGCGGAAAATCTTAGTTTGAGAGTTATCACAAGAAAAGGAGGAACAGAAATTGATTCTCGGGAGATAGATAAGTGTGCATTATACAAGAGAGATCTGGGATCGTACGGCCGGACGGCTGCCAGTAGAAGGTGGGCAGAACTGTGCAGCTGCCAGTATCATCATCGAAACTGTGCGGCAGTGGTAGCTGGCTGTCTGTGTTTGTCAAATTTCGTATTCTTTCAATACGTTTCCTCAAAAGAGTGTTACTTAGCGATCCACATTTGCCTGATTATCTACTGTCGCTACAAACAACGGGTTTGTGGTTAAATCTCGCACACAGCCATTTATAGATAGCATCTCGGAGAGCTGGATCTCCGCACCTGGATACAAATATTCAATGTGCAACTGTAACTTATCGAAGGTGAGTAGGACTAAAATTTAAGTGCTAAAGTAATGATGATACGATACCAGTATTAGTATCGTAATGGATAAGGTGGCCAGCCTTGTGCTGATTTAGTTTTACTTTGATGTCTAAAAAAAAAACGCTATTACGGTGATCACTGCTATTGCATGTTCCCTGTGAGCTGTGGTGACTCCTGTTCGGTGTTGAGGATAGGATTCATATTGAAGTTTATCTATTCTTTTAAGCTCGATCATAAATAATCATTCTGCGTTTCATATATAGAATAACATCCTTACAACTGCGAATTCATTCAAGTCACAGAAATTCATTCAGCCAGTACAAACAATCGAAATAAAATAAGGAAGTCATTGTGCCAACTGTTCTGTTCTAGCCGACCCTTTACGTATTCCAGCTTTAAGCACTAGAGGATACGGAGAATAACTGCTGTTACGAAACCATTATGGTGTCATAGAAACCAACGAGAATTCCTACCGATTTCAAGCAAACCACTGTTTCATATTGGGGATTTAATGGCGCACATATCGCTACCTAAGCTCCTCGTTTAACGTTTGCAGAATCTGGTAGTCGCAGAGGGTTCTGCCTTAATTCTGTCATACGCTAGCCACATTGTCGAATAGTTGAAATCTTATATCTTAATATTAACGCTGACTCTACATCGTAGTAGCGGATATGTGTGTCCTATCAATATAGTATTGACAATAGTATCAATTGATGTTGGTCTGCCAGATCTGTTGATTCGTGTTAAAGGTAACGAAATTGATCCGTTTAAGGCTAAGGTACTTTTTTTGGTAGCAAAAAATCTGGAATTTTCGAACATCGAAAGGCGAAAAGACGACTACCGTTATCCTTATGCATGGCTATAATAGCCGCCATGAAATAAATATCAAAGATGCCGGCGGCTTAAGTGTATAGCTGACTATCGAATTTATCAAATAAAAATAATTTTAGTTAAAACAAGTTATGTTGCCAAAGAGTCGGCGAACTGACAAAATGCTATCTATACTATACTGTACTACATAATTCTATCATTTGATATTTGATGTTAATGATTCCCCGAATATACAGCGTTTGACAGACACACATATTTATATACTTTGAATTTTGGTAGATAAGAAGGCATTCATTTTAACCCTTGATTCCCTTATTCAATTCATAATCATTTCTGAAAATATCTTAGCGCTGGTTATCTTTTTAGAACATAATAAGTGCCTGAAGCTTGTCTGAGAAAGTAGAAATTAGAATAGTGCTTAGAACAAATTACAAATAGATTAATAGGGTGATCTATAAGTGTTTGAGCCCGGTGAATTGTTATAGCTTCGTGCCCTCTTTCAGATCACAACATTTATGCCATTAGCATCCTTGTTTTGCGGTGTTTGAACACTCGCCTGTGCCATTATCCTTATATACGATGTCTTCAACTGGTTTTTGAAACCTGTAAATGTGCTACCTAGAGCTGCGAGTTGCTATGAGCTTGAATTGCTCTGATCTTTGCCCTGTCGGATTGACGTCTTCATCGCTGACGTTTCGAGTAAGTGGTCAGTTGGTCTGGCTGGTGCTTGAGTAGTCGACATAACCAGATGACAAATCGATCCGCCGTGCGCCAGAAATCTCGCTGGGTTAAATCGAAAAACATCTACCTCCCAGTAATTGAATACTGCACACACGTCTGATATGAACGGACATACGCATTCGCTCATATGTTTGACGTTTCTTTCTCGCTCATCATCGCTTTATCATGTCGTTAGCGGAACGTGCAGGGATAGTTTAATCTCCTGTATAGGTTGAGTGTATTGTTTCACTCTTGCTTCGGCTGCTCTCTCTTGTTGTTTTTCATCGTTTATCTGCCATAAGCATTCATCTGTCAAACGCTGCTACTGGCTGCAGCCAGCTTTCACGGTGACGGTAACCGTGCTGACGGCAGTTAGCGGGCGAACGATGCCCGACCGCCGACGCAATCGGCTGTCGCGCTGTTGTTCCTCCGTTCGTCGTGATACCCTTGGTCATCGTGATCATCTGAAAAAAGGATCATGCGTTCTTGATGAATGCTGTAGAAGTGAGCGCGTGTGGCTCACTGTGTCTCTCGCTTGCTTTTTATTTTTTTTGGCCCACGCGTAAGTGTGGGTGCAAGTGTCCGTGCTCAATGCGCGTCAATTCGTACAAAACAACGTTTGAGTTCGAAAGAGGTCAGTTCAATGCATCGTGTTACGTCATAGACGATTAACAATGGTGCTAAATAAGATGAAGGTGATAGCGATGGATAGAGCGTGAACAATCTTTGGTATAAGCAAAAGTTCATAACAGGTTTGAATCACGCGACGCGTGTTCTTTTCCTTAGGAATGCTAAGGTCGTTTGACAGCACGAACTGTCAAATACATTCCCAATAATATACAGGCAGGATCTATTTGGCATTCAGCTTTTACAAGCGTGAGTTTTTTTCTATGGGGGAACAATCTACCTCAGGGCAATGCTAGCCCTTTGACTTTATCGTGTGCTTGTATCAGTTAAAAATAGACCTGTACAGAAAATATTTTCTCCATAAAATATGCGAAGATTTCAAAACCGACCGACATACATTAGCCTCACCATTCGCTCGTGCTTTTTTGCTATATAATCCCTAAATTAAAATAATTACTAGTATTTCAGAAGTTGTCGTTGTCGTGAGTCTGGTGCACTTGCTCTGAATGGTTTACTTTTTTTTTTATATCATTCACCTATACGCCGTTGTATTCGATAGCTTTGAAATTTTGGTGTTATGAACACCGATTAGGCTAGAAGCCGACGTTAAGCCTACACAAGTTATACAGACATTGGAAATAGACTTATTTTTTGGAATGCAGACCTAAGACGGTACTGGTTAGTAGAATCGGTGCTGTAAGGGGTTGGCTAGTGTGGTTAGGATTACAATGGACAAAGGCTTAGTGGAATGTTGTTCTATGTACGCACAAGTTAGTTCGTCACGCTGTTATCCTGCTGATGCGTATCGGCTGAGCGATCTCACTGCTCCAGAAACTACAAGGCCTATTAAAAGCCCCCCTCTCCAACTGATGACATAGTTGAGCTGAATTTGTTTGTCGCTCAAATTAATGTTACGTACGAAGTACTTCTGACACCGTACGCACTATCGCAGATGGTGTTTATGTAAGGCAGAACAAGTAGGAATCACCTTGACGGTATCCTGTGTTTAAGGAGAAATTGGTATGAGTGGTTTGGCAAAGACAGATATAAAGCCATATCTAGCTGAATCTAAATAGAACCGAAAGGATATTCTTCGACGCTGTTCTGGGTATTATCTGATGGTGATGCCGTGTGGTGGATAGTTGCTAGGAAAAATGTGCGCTTCAGGTCAGATTGAACGTTATCAAACGGAGCACGAATTTGTAGCTATATAGAATCACTGAAGAATTACGGAAATTAAATTTGTCGGCCGTTCGAGATATGGTTCTGCACTTAGGCTATACCTCATACAACACAAAAGTATAATTTAGGCATATTGCGTCTAGAACCTTTTCAGCGACTACGATAGAAGCGTAGACACTTTGAAGATGAAAAAGATCAACTCCGTTTATTCATTGGCGTTTAGTAATCGCGACAATGAGGTGAACCTCCTTGTGTCAGTAATGGAATTAAGAAAAGTACACACGATTACCACGGCTATCAACACTCTCATCGTATCGTCCAGATGGGGCCACTTACGATTATTCGCTACCCAGGGGAACCGACACGGCGTATGAATGTGCCCGATTGTTTGTTTCAAGATACTAACAAGTTTAAACGAAACACAGGTCGTTATAGGTGAGACCATGCACAACAGGTCCGGATAGGTCAGTGCATAGAAAATACTCACAGAGTGACAGTGCCGCTAGCCTACTTGTCATTTTTTATCAGCAAACTTTGCATGCTGACGTTTGTTGATTGTTATAGTATTACTGTAGTAACCGTTTCGGCTATTGGGTGGTGCTTACTGTAGTGTGCTATGCAGCAAGCAATGTGCGCCAATGAATCTTCGCAAGAGAACTTGAGGACACTTCGAATGTCGCGTCTTTCCTCAATGTCAATTAAGTGAGTACCTTTCGCTGAACTTGAACAGGTCACAATCGCTTGTCTAGCCTGTTGACGTTTGTAGACAAAGACGAAAGGAACCTTCGTCTACAAGCTGTAGGTCTGTAGATTCAGGCCTATCTTGAAAAGATTATATCAAAAGACGCATGCTGTACTTGTATGTGTATTCGTAGGCCTTTCGTGTACATCGTCTATGCCTTCGAAGACGATTAACGGCGGCCGGCCTTAGACTGAGCGACTCTCACACGCCTTAAACCAACTGTTATTATTCCCACTGTATGTCGTCTAACTGACATTGAACTACAACTAATACCGTTGACACCGACCTTTAATACCTCCTATTATATAATTCGTAGTTACATAGAAAAACGAATGTGACTACTGAGAAAGTAATTCTTACCTAACTGTACAGGCTAATCAGAATATTTCTGGTAAATAGTTTTCAACAAAGTAAGGTTAAGCGTCTTAATTGTGGAAAAAATTGTCAGGTTTTCTTGTAATCTTCTTGCTTATGAAACACGTGAACTAGGTTGCTTATAGCAAACTAGGTAATATGAAATTGATAGAGGAAAGAGAACTGTAATACCCGTGACTTTTGCACACTCGTATGAATAAGGAAATTTTTCAACTTATTTTCATATGAAATTGTATGTGAAAGGTTATGTTCAAGTTAGAAGGCGTTGATAGACGTCTAGCTGTACTGCAACCTAAACCAGAAGTCATGAATCACTCCTCTACTTATCATGCTTAGCTTCAACTGGTCCGGGAAGACAATTGTCAAGGCTTTTGCTGTCTGATAATTGATTATCCTTGCCGCCGTAGGTGTCTATGAGATTCTTTCTATGCAGGCATTTCCGATGCTGCGCACTTTATCGCTGCGCTGTCTATGCTTTTGTGAAAAACTAATGCACTCTTGGAATACAATAGTGTACGTATATCTGCAAACTAAAGGTAAAGGTCTACCAACTGATAATTTTATAGGTACAGGTATTCATGGTAACGCCAGACGTAAGTAGACGCGCGTTGTTGATCATAATCATTTGTAGCGCGTTAAAGCACGGTGGAATCTTGTCATATGCATAGCTTGTTTATAGACGTGTTCTGCAGTTGTTAAAAAATCGCAGTATAAAACAGTACGTCTCGTACCCAGTGTGCAGCCCGGAGCATTAGAATGCTTCGCGTAGCACTTCTTTCTCATATGAATCTGCCATATTAACATAGCACGTTCTCAACGGATTTTACCGATTAATAGAGTTGACGGAAGTGCCAGTTCACTGTATAATCATGGAATATAGCTACTAATCTTAGTCTGTAAGTTTTTTTCTTTAATATAGAAAATATACCTTACCAATTAAAGCTAAATAATCAAAAATAGTGGGAGTTGAGATTATTTTTTGCTACTTTGCGATCCACCGCGATTCGATGTACGTATATGTTCCCTGAGTAAAGCGAAGAACGTATGCGCGACTTGTAATTTGTATGTATTTTATTTATAAGAAGAATAAGTGATACGTTTCGCAAGACCAATTTACTTAATTACAGGGTATTTTGTTTAGAGATTACGTCATGACCACCTAGCAACGGGGGCTCTAACTGAAGGTTTGACGCCCGTGAATGGCGTAACAAAAAATTCTAATGTAATGTGACTAAATTAGTTGATGCCTCGTGTTGAGCGCTGTGCGCACTCGCTCATCATTTACATGATACAATAAAGCGGCGTTATTATTGTGTGTTGCTGGTTGTTTACTAGCAGGTCGATACTTCGGCCTGCAACCGCTATTGTACCCTTCAGTAACCAGTAACCGCTGCTCGCAACGATTGGCCCCCCGACTGATATGTATTAGCTCATACGTGACGAGGTAACTGTCTCGTCGTTTCCGCTTTTACTTTTGGCGCGATCGGCTACCACCGGTCACCGAAGGAAAAGATTCGAATACGACAAGGTGTGAATGACGCTTATGGTCCCGAAAATAGTAACTGGATTTGGTGAAACAATGGATTCGACCTACGCGATTGATAACATACCTTAGGCTATCAGTCCAATTATTACTGTCGATATGTATATATCTAAATTATAAACGCAATTGTGCGAATGGCACTAGTCAATTGGCGGGAATTTTTGAAACATCTCGTTTTATAGCGGTCGCTGCGTTCCGTGAGAGCACGCAAATATTGATGAATGAAAGTATGACAGACGTAATTTCTCGCAAAAACGTTTAAGTAACCGCGATTAATTAGTATAGTCATTACACATTAAGCTTTATTAAATCCTGTGGCTAGTAGAGATCTGTTGAGTGTAACAAAGAAATGGCAATAACAAGCCGGTATAAAAGCATATGTGCAAATTTGCTCTATTAAATTAGGAATACAAGCAAATTTAACGTTCCAAAGTTTAATATAATTTACATTTTCACAAATGTAGTTCATCAAGAAGCCGTATGTGGCTATGCATTAGTAGTATAAATTATATGTCAAAGGCAAGTACTGTCATTTTAAAAATAGCCGTTCTGTTGTTCCCTATTCTTGATAGCCACAACAATCGAATCATTTCAAATTTAAAAGCCCTTCTCGCAGCAACAGCTTTCGCGGAAGCAGCTGCTGAGTCAGCTTGAAAAACTGACCGGCAAGCGAAAAAGGCTATCCAAAGGCAACTCATGAAGCAGTGCATCATGAGAATTAATATGAACGTTATCTTCTTTTGACTGACTCGTAATGACGTTTGTTTAAGATCACGATTGACATAGTAGCTTCATTCGTGAGCAATTAGATGGTCAAGCCATCCAATACACAGGTAGCACCGAATCTGCTCTAATTCCGAAGAGCACTCGGGCTTATTCCTTAAATCGATTGTAGATCTGTTGAACTTTATTTTTTTCCCCTATAGATGATAAATCCTGTAAACGATGCTAAGACTTTCCCATAATTGTACAAAGCGTTACGTCGTTCATGCTATCTAAAACGTAACGTGGACTACCACGCGACGCTTAATAGCAGGATTGAAAAAGCACTGTTCTAGAGCGCAATGCATGTGGGAAATTCAAACTTTCAAAAAAAAAATACAAACAAAATTGGGTGCAGATAGAGCCGAGTTATCCTCCCAGAAGAAAATAACTAATATATTTCGCACGCCGGATCTTATTCTGGGCGAAACCTGCTAGGTAGAATGATTGAATGTAAAACTATGGGATTCAACAGTGGCTAACATCTAGCCGTGCGAGTATTACTATTGCTACAGAACGAATAGAGTGCTCGGTTAATCTAGAGCTGCAAGGACTTGTCGGTATGGTAACATAGAGCTTCATAAATGAAGTACTCGCCGACTTCTCCTTAATGACGGCCTTTGTCAGTCAGTCAATTTGTATGGCTCAGATGATTCTTTTATTGTTTTTGACTGGTGTGGTCAGTCATTATTTTCGTTTTGCTGTCAAGCAAATATGGCACTTTACAGTAAGCTCGACCCAGTGTAAAAGTAAATACTAGAAACGCATGCATAGAAAAGTGTACATTTATCGCGGTGTGTGTCTGATACACCACTCGCTTGAAGCTAGTGCATATTGTATATGAAGCATGGTCAGATATGACAATTTCGGCCCTTCGTTAACGTTGTGGCCTGACCCCTCTAACCGTTCAATACTGTTTCGGCGCCACTTGGCTAACGAAACATTGGTCATTCCACTATTATGGTGGCTTTCTATTATCCCTAGACGAAGCTCCACTTTTAATATCGACCATCACTTGCAGCCGCTTCGAGTAATGGCAGCGACGGGCGTCACGCTCATAGTCAACGCGTACTGATGTAACGTTGCGCAAAGCCCCGAAACCGTTAAATGTCGCCAATCGCGATGTGGAAGGCTAGTATTTGTCTCCTTGAGTCAAGCATCATGTAGTTTGTGTCATTATTAGCATGGTAGCTGACTGCAAAAATATAGCTATTCGGTCTTACAGGTAGTCAATCCTGCAAAATTGACGCCGCTCAGGAAGCATCATGAATAGATTCTATAACATATGGTTTTAATGAAAGATGAAATCGTTTTTTAACTTGATAGTTATACCTATTAGCCTTCGTAGAAGAGAATAACCCGTTGCAGTTTCTATCGTTAAAAATGGTCCAGAGGCGTAAATCCCTACCAAAAGCTTTACATTGTAAACAAGCACAACAGCTAATTCTCGTACAAACAAGTGCTCTAGTACGTACGTGCTGATGTAAGTGTTGTATACATCGAGTGACAACTATAGCTTTACTATTTGAGCTAATAATACGACAAGCGGAAGAATTGTCTGATCCTCAACTGTTATACTCTATACACTATAAGTTAGCGATCTCTGCTGTTCAGGAAATCTCTTACTTTGTATCACCTAAACAATAGATAGCCGACGTTTATCTATTCGTGTAGATACAAGGTAAGGGCAGTACGCGTTATTGGTCCGTATCTCTGCCTACATGCAGAGTAATGTTAAAGTGCAACTAATTATCGTAAAAACGCGTGTGGATATTTAGTTTCTGTCATTACATATCTTCGTTTTTCTTTCAACATGTTGTATTTTGCAAATATAAAACGACTCAAGAGGACGAAATGTTTTCCCAGTACAGAACAGAAATGCGCTTCTTACTAAGTAAATATTAGCTTATATATTTATCATAATAAATCAGATCATTTAATCGTAATATAGAAAACCAACTGACCTTGGCTCAGCGGCTAGGAATGACAAGCCTGTTTTCCCTTGAAAAATCCTATATCTTTAATCTGAGCATATATGCTTAGACTATAAGCAGCCGGAAGTTAACATAAATAGCGACCTCGCCTATCACGAACTAAGCCAACCGCAGTGTATTTTGCGGTTAGCAAGTACGCTATTATAGCAGCGCAAGTGATCTGTGGTGAACTACTTTCTCCCACTGTGTCCATAAGCGTGCGTCTTGCACGTACATCGCTATATATATGTATAGCTTTCTTTATTTTTATTTTATATATCTTTTATTATTAAATATATATTATATACTTTACATGGATGAATGGCAACACACTTCATTTCTTAGCCAGGATTCCCATGATAGGATACGATTTTTTAATTAATTAAAAGAAAACACCAATTTAGTAATTGAAGAGTACATATAGTTCAATGTTCATCGGTGTTGTCTAATGTATCACGCATAAAACAGCTCGTAGATCATGTGCGAGCCAATCACCCTGAATTTAACATTGACACCGTTATCATGGCATTAGCCTACACTACGTAGTTTAAAAAATTCGCTAAAAAAGAATGCTTCCTGCAGTTGACTAAATCTTTATATATTGTATATGCAGACGTAGCGACTCCAATCTAAAATTAGTTTATATTTATTATTTTAAATACACTAAATTAAATAGACCATTAAGGCTACAATACTGATGAAAACGTCTTATATTTAACAATGCTGATCCCGTTGTTTTGTTATTGCAGAGCTCCGAACGCTCGTTCGCCGCGGGTGTTGAGGCTCGTGTTAGCGGAGCGTCGTCGTGCCCACCGCCCGGACAGCATCTGGCTCCCTGCGGAAGTCCTTCTGGTGGAGCCCTCGTCCACCCAGTGGCGTTCCTCTCGTCTCGAGCCCCTAACGCCTGCCTCGTCTGCATGGCAGTAGACAGTCTAGTGCACCTATCATTTGTTTACTACTGCCATGCCCAGCACGCAACGCCGTAGGGCATTATTGCAGGTTGCCACTCAATGCTGAAGCAGCTTGAAGCGGGCGCATGAAAAGTTAACAGCAAAGGGGAAAACAGGCAGCAGACAAACGAGAGACTGAGGGAAGAAAAAAATCAAATAGCAACACAAGTCACGAGGCAATTCTCATAGAAGCAAGGAGACCTATAGCGAAGATAATAGCATACCTGTGATCCCTGTAATAGCTACACCTTCAGCTTTAACAGCTATGCACACATAGGCAAACTTCACGCTGCAAAAGACAGAAACAAAAGGACATAGGAAAAAAAGCGATAAACACCATTAAAAAGTTAATATCCAACCGCGGACTTTTCTATACACTCAAATATATATATATATATATATATATATATATATATATGCAGAAGCGGAACTAATATACCGTGCCAGCTAGCGTATCTGTAGATTTTTAACATTCAGATGCGGAGAGAGATAACAGAAAAAGGTGGTGAACAATTCGAGTCATAGCGCATACAATTACATCGAAAAGGAAAACGCATATTGGCGAAAATACTAAAAAACACAGACAGAACAATCTAACAATCTGCAACACTTGATAGGGATCAGCTTCCACTGCTGCTATTACTATCTGGGCACAAAGAACTTACAACGTGGCATTGAAACAATGACAAGTCCACGTAGTGAAGTTAGCTATCCGCAATTGAATTGACCCCACTAGTCCAATCAATCAAACAAGGGAAAAAGAGAACGTTCTTTTTTAGAAATTGCTTCGTACATGAGTGCCTGCACAACCTTGAGCCTCTACCGTCATCTGCATCATATCACAGTCAGCCAGTTGACAGTCTTGGTCATCAGTCGTAGCAGGTCAGTAGTAAATGCTGGGTATTAGAATAAAATAATAAAACTAAACTGAAAAATAAATATAAATAGCTTAATATATATATATATATATATATATATGATACGCTCTCACCGAAATCAAGGAGATGCTAACAGTTTTGCCATCGAAAACGGCCAGCAAAACAGTACATTCTGTTAAACACATATATCGTCGTTGTTGCACAAAGATCCCTTTTAACAGTTGTCCTGGCTTATATTCAGGTATTGACTTCCGAATATAACCCATTGCAGTCCATTATCGTATACTAGGTATCATAGATCTATCCGATTCCCTGCGGTATGTCTATATCTGGAAATTGCTTTGATAGGGATTAAGATGCACTGTTCTCCAAATACGTCTTGAGTAATGCCAGTATCCATTTTATGGGACACGCGACAGCTGCTGGGCTAATATGGTTGGCGACAAGAAACTAATTATCTTAGAGTGGCTCTATTCATTGTCTGTTTCCGGTACGTGTCGTTCTCTAATCTACTCAATCTAGCCTGAGCTTTATCTTAATGGACGATTAAACTTTGCGATGGCGTTATATGAAAATATTTTTTGTCTGCATTCGTAGTAACAAAAACATAGAATTTTTTTTTTCGTTACTGTTTACATTGTTCATATTTCTTTTTGGTTTTCTCTATAGCTCCTTTTTTTTCTGAATTCATTTTTCATAGCTTTCCAGGGCATTTACTTTTACAGCAGCATTAAGCAATAACGTCTGAGGCTTTTTAAGGGCATCTAACTGATCTGGCATTAAGTAGAGTTTTGGGTCTTATAAGATACAAAGCTCTACTTAATTTTAAATATGATTTTACTTTTTTAGGATTGAAACTTTTTCAGTTGTGCAATCGTTGCTAAGTATAAATTAGTATGGCTACTATGTGTACTGCCCAACTTCTAAGGCACCACTTGGGTAGTCAAAATTAGGTGCAAATTTCCATACGAATTCATGTCAACTTATAGAATGTAATGGTCCATTGTAAACTGCTCTTCTCGTGCTCGTCTAGGGCTTAAGGCGGTACTACTAACTAGAGTAAAGAAACTTATAGTTAATTAGGTGGACAGCGGTCAAATGTTTAAACACGTATATTGAATGAGCGACGGTATATCTGTATCGCGGACGTACAAAAGGTTGTCTAAGTGAACTGGCGATTGACCACCTTGCAGAAATCGAGAGATACAGCATCCGGACAATAGCCTTGCATCTTGTAAGTTATTAAGTCAAGACCGGACAAGGAACTTCATAAGCTTGTCTAAGACCTAGGAAATGTAATTTAGTAAAGAAGCACTAAGAAACTGATTAAGCAACTAAATAAAATTTTATGTACAACAGCTTGAAGTGATCAGCTTGCCTGACGTAATGGGTCATTATAGGAATTCTCCTTGCCTTCAGGTCGAATCGTTTTTCCGTCTCGAAGCAAAATTCACGACTGTTATTCTCGTTATGTTGAAAAAATCACGGTGCCATGTCCGAGCTAGTTCGATTGCGCGGGCACGCGTATGCGACAAGTGAGTGAAGATGTCGTAAATTTAGACCGTGGCTAGAAATACGAGTCGCGTGAATAACTAGCACGGGGCGTGCGGTCAGTTCAGAAGACAGCTGTAGTAATGAATTACACCTCGTGAGGTTTTAAGGGAGTTGTGCACGTACGCTGACTTTGTTCATATTTCCGCACCGTGTCATGTTGCACTGAATACCCGCATAGCGTGAAATTACTGGCTTATTGTCATCGCATGAGAGTGACATGTTTTCAAGGCATGTTAGACTTTCGATAGACCGGATCTCGTTCTCTACAATGTACTAGCTTGAGTCAGCAAGTGGTTTTCTAATTCATTTTGAATTGGGGAGTATCAGATGCTGCCTGAACTCAGTTGCATTCTGCTACTTGGATACACTTCGGGACTCTATCACTGAAGTCATGGGAACAGCTGTTGGCAACCTCGTTGGAAGTTCTTTATGAGCTGTTTTACGTTTATTGCGATATAAAGAAAATATAACTGAGGAACGAGACTCAGTATATACTTAAAACATCATCAGAACTGATAGGCATAGCAGAAGTTAGGCGCTTGGTGCGCAAGCTATTTAATGTAACAATTGTTTGTTTACTTTGTTTTAGGCAAATACTTGAATACGATAGGGCAAAAGGCTGAAGATTGAACGAGACAAAATAAGAGGAACCCGTGAAGACAAACTTTATTAATAGCTTCTAACTTCGTACGTCACATCTAAAAGACGACGCTTTAAGTACAAAATATACAAGAGAACGTCTCTGTCAACATACCATCCGATTGTCTTTCTTGTCTCGTAGAAATACGACAGGCTTAACGTGAGGTTGAGCGTGACCTTCGCAGTAATCACCTTTTCCCGTAGCCTACGACGTGAAGGTCACGATCGTAAGAACGCCAGGCTATTGACGGATCTCAACGGATGTATCAACGTGAATTCAGAGTGCTGACAGGGTAATCATCGCTTGCCTTCGTAGTGATCACGCCCCTGTTAATTAGCTTTGACAAGTGAAGACTACGGGGATTCTTCCAGAACAAAGTCACCTATTTCTCCAGACGACTTGACTCAAACTGCCCTGTTGAGTGGAACACGTTGAGCATAAAGAGACGGATAACAAAAGCGATCTCGTACCACTACTTGTGGGGCGTTCCCTAGTCATCAACCGTTGTAAAAGCGAGCAAGCTAACCAAAACCTGTTTATTATTAGTAGCTCGCTCACAAGTTGGCCAGGACCTCGTTCTGTGTAGGGACTGGCAAAGTTCCGTTCACCTAATTTGGTTCCCGTGCTGCTGTCACTGCTTCTGCTACCGTTGAAGTGATCGCCGCTGCCGTCACTGTCCTTCGTCGGTACCCGTTACCTGTCAGTTCGTCTGGTCTTGCCTGTTTAGCATTGGTTATTTGTACGTGCGCTTGTTAGTCCATTAGTCGCTATTTGGTGTCGCACGGCAGCTCAGACGCCGGCGCCGTGGCTCCTCTCTTGTCGATGACGGCTTCCGCTCCGTCGCCGCCTGCGCTTCCTGCCATAACAACGGCACCTCCACATAGTGTGCGCTCCCTTTCCAGCCCGCCCGTCCAGGAATTGCACACCCCTTCGGGTACGTACGCACGTTCACCATTTGTTCCCGGCTACACATTATAGATAGTGGCACAAGAGAGTATCGACAGAATTAAACAGATGATGCCATAATGCGTCTAATACGATGTGACGCGGTTCACATTACATAGATTCACACATTTGTATGACCATTTACTGGTGCACGGGCAGGGGTGGGTTAGAACCTCATATTTGGTGCATGTCGTCATTGTTGTTGTATAGATTACTGAACGCTGTTTTGTTATAAGTAAGTGCTATTTAACTCAACCGATTTTGCTGACATAACACACAGCCGATGTCATTCGAGTGTCCAGGACCACTTGAAAATCTGCCAATAGATACCAACAAATTCTAACATGCTGCAAGGGCTGTTTCATGTGCAGGAACTTGAGTTGTTAAATCGTAAAATGAATTTTTCAAATCGGATCTAACAGGCTGCCCCTACTGGCAAAAGACAAGGTCAAGAAGGGTTTTCTTATCGGTACACAGAGTGGTTTCCTTCGACGCAGAAACATCAGTAACTTTTTTGATTAATGCATCCTTTAAGGCGTTAACTGGAAGAATGGCCTATTTTTTCAGACAGGTCGTAGACATATGTTGGTGTCATAAACTAAAAATGACGTACAGGGAGATCTTTCTAGACCGAGCTTTGAGTGTACCCAGAGTGAATTGCAATAATACATCTTTCTGGTAAGATACTATGGGCAACAAAATGGAATATTTTTATTTGTTACTCAATGCCTCGGTCGCTATCAATTTGGCATAAAAGCGGCATGAATATATTCACATTTGCTTGATTCACAATGATGTGACAGAATAACTGGGTTGTATCACTGTCAGAGTTACCCTAAGGCCATCCCGTAGCTGCATGTAAGGAAGCCCAGCTATCGCAGTTAGAATATTGAACGATAAGACAAGGAAGGCGATCGAACGATCAGACGCGGCTTCACGCTCGAACCGAGAACGTGTAATCAGTCATTTAAAGGATCTTAAAGAAGTAAATAAATGTGTCTCAGCAAGGATAATAGTTTGCTACCAACGAAAGCCAGAAGTTTTTATTCCACACATATCTCAATGTAACAAGCGATTTGATTCGCAAGTTCATTGCTGTTTTTGATAATGGGAACCGGCCAGACGGGGAACATGTAATCTTTCGAAACGTAAACGTAAAAAAAAAGATGTACGGCGGAAACAGTCAATTTTAAGCAAGAGATTTATTCATCCAAATGTCGAATTATACGATTTCGAGGAAATACTTGATTGTTTTCACTGTTTTAAATGAACTCTACGGACACGACGTTCAGCAGAAAATTCTACATTATTCTAAAGAAACAATAAAAGCTAAGATTTGGAATATAAAATCGCTCTGCAAAGCTTAGAGGATAGAGAAAGAGATTATAAATAGAACTTGATTTAAAACTTTAGCTGCTCAGTTAAATTTTACAAACGTCGGTATGTTAATAAAACTTCACGGGATTTTTCATGGAATTTCAATCGATTGCCTTATCTAAAAACTGACATGCAATGGCAATACAGGGCAATGAATTCTACCCGAGTAAAAAGAAGGCTACCCGAATAATGGTTGGGCTTTACGTTTTTGTTGTATGTTTGAATACGCTTGGGCGTTTGTAGTGAAGTGCGGTGTGCTAGTGTCTCCTGTAAGCGGCCCGGGTGGTGCAATGCGTCAAAAGGGAAGTCTTTCCCTCGGCGGAATGGGGATCATGGGTGGCCTGCAGAGGCCAGGACCGTCCGAATTTGTCTACAAAGGCTACAACTTTCTAGTCACCGACCGGCCCACCGATGCCACCCTGCCATCCTACGTTGAGGTATAAATAGGTCGTTTTCATTACCATATGTTTAATAATAAAATGTAGAATTTTTTTTCTCGACGGTGTCTACAGTAGCTAGAATAGCAGCTATTTGCATTATTTTATACATACAGATATTATACGGTAGTATCATTTAGCAGCAACCTCGGCTGTTGCAATAAGACGTGTGGTGACCAATGGCTTCTAATCCTTGCGTTACATTCTGCTAGTATAACACATACATGTATTTGCTTGCTTATTCAACTTGCAACTCCTTATTATCCCTAATTAAAATACCCATGCTGTTGTTGAAACTGTTCAACTTATTTAATAAAGTTCTGTCTTCATTTCTTTAACAGGAGCTGAAAAGGCGGCAAGTTACCGATGTGGTCCGGGTGTGCGAGCCGACATACCAAACCGAACTGCTAGAAAAGGAGGGCATTAAAGTACACGATCTACAGTTTGAAGATGGCTCCCCACCGCCTGCAAGAATCGTCGAGGAGTGGCTCGACCTCATCCGTAATCGCTTTAAAGAGAGACCCGACGCGTGCGTTGCTGTCCACTGCGTGGCGGGACTTGGCAGGTAAACTTTAACCATGTGTTTAATGTTTGTTATTTCCTAGAAGGACGCAAAGATCTTTTTATTTAACCAGCAATCATTATCAGCTGTTGCCTACGTGTATAAGGCATATCTAGTAAAACAAGCAATGGTGGATGAATGGCTAACCAAATCTATTCAATTTTACCCACTGGCTTTTGCGGCCTATTAGGGCGCCGGTTCTGGTGGCGCTAACACTAATTGAACTTGGCATGAAGTACGAGGACGCGGTGGAGTTCATCCGGTCACGTCGTCGGGGTGCGTTCAACGCAAAGCAGCTAAGCTACCTCGAGAAGTATCGCGCCAAAAGTCGACTCAAGCAGAGGGGTAACTCCGCCGGCAACGGACCGCAAGTCTGCTGCATTCAGTAAGGCATAGTCCTAAGTAAACTATTCCGACGCCGACAACAACAGCAACACTATAGCTTTCATTGAGCTCACGATAACCTGATTAATCCCACAGAACTGTAGTCCCAACAACACCGTGTTTCATGACCGATACAGACGGCAAAACACCACAGATTCATGTACACATTTACAGTAAAGATGGGATATGACGCTCTCGTTAAATTATCAGAACCCGAAACAAGTCGCTGAAAACTTCACTCACTAGCAGCAATAGTAACAACAGCTCCATTCAATGTGAGTCGACGATCTAAGCTTAGCAATCATTAGCTACGTGCAGCACACATGCACGAAAATTATACATTGATTGCACGTCGATGCCAAGCCCATGCTAAAGCCACGTTTCAAGAGCGGCCTCTCGCCTTATATTCAATGCTGTGGCACCTCTCTGAAAAGGTGTTGTCTGTCGGATGCCGCCGGAATAAGAATGCAGAGGGCAAACGCGCAAGTCAGTCGCCGTCGGAGTATACCCAGCGATCTGTGATCCACAAAAAACCGGCAAATACATACATTTTGCCGCCTCTTGTCGTGGTGGTAGTTTTTGCCAATTTTAAGACGAGGAAGTGAAAGTCTACGATGGTTGCTACGATCATTAATATTGACAGTACGCGATATAGTCACCGTAACTAGAACTCTTATCGTAACGATAAGAACTTTTTCCATTACAACTGCTGCTGTTTCAGCAGCGATTATTTACAACTGCGGTGGTCAAAGGAACACGTACAAAAAGCAGTGTCATTCAGCGTCCGGCTCGAACCTAATGCGCTCGTTCACACTAAACGTTGCGACCTTGGCATGTGATGACTTGAGCCTACGCCCTGCCAGGCTCTCGTTAATTTACTAGATGTGAATGAGGAAAAAGATGGCAGCACAGTCTCTAGATGAAGTCGATGTGGCTTGTTGGAAGACCCATAGAGCAGCTTTGCCTAGACTGGGAGGAAAGGATGCCGAGGTCAGGGTGACCAGGCGCAATCAAGTATGTGGATGTTTTTAATGTCAAGATAAATTGTGAAATACAGTAATGAAATGACCGAAACAAACCCAAAATATGTAAACAATGAACGAATTTAGTAAGCAGACAAACTAGCAATGAAAGAAAATTTAAGCCTACAACTTCCGGCTTTGTTTGCCAATCTTTGAGGCCGTACAGTTTGTTAACACTGACTCCTTAGTAACGAGCAGCAAACAATGACCCAAAAAAAAATACGAATTCAATAATTCTAAACCAAGATGATGAACGTGATAAAAATTATGATTAATAATAATAATAAGTTATGAAAAGTGACGATATTCAAAAACCCGGTCGATTTGATGTATCTGAAAAACTAGGGTTAAAAGGTTAATGGACGAGTTTTCTAGGAAGAACGATAAAAAATGATGATGCAATAGTAATGAGAAGAACTTTATTTAGTTGACCGATCTTTAGGTTATGCTATGGTAAATGCGTAGCAACGTGAAAGTTAGTATAATGACGCGCTACAAAACGCATAGGATGGAGAGATAGATGTGCTTGATTGAAGCGAAATGGTTAAGAAAGGATGGCTCCGTATCAGTCTTTACTGCGAAGTCACCAATGCATCCGCCTTTCCTAGCTGAAGCTAAGACGAAAATTGTGTGCTTGCTGGCTGTATCATGTGACGGTTATTTTAGTTTATAATCCGTTAGTAGGTAGCCTATTGTGCCACTCACTCTTAAGCGATTATTAATAATCAGTTTTTAACCAGTCAATTTATCAATTATTTAGGCAGTTGGAAATAAATTGATATCATCATCATCTAGTTCGCCGGCAGATGGCGTTGTTTAGAATAGTGGCGGTTGCTCTTGCAACTTTTGGATGATGGCACATTGAGTGTTACATGCAATGCGTGTCCCCAGGAAATGGTAGTCGTAACGACATAAGACAACGAAGATGGCGACAACAACGATACCCGCTGAATGTACACACCTGGCCCGAGGGAGCGAGATTTCTTTCTGTATTATGTTCAGAGGAAGAAGTGGCTCAACAGCTATTTACTTCCTCGTCTGTATAGAGAACTTCTTGTTTTATAAGTGTGCTCGTGAGTTCATTAATGAAAAAATTTGCGACGGCGGTAAAAACACCGTTAGCTACAAAAACACGCTTTTTTTGTTGGGACGAACTACTGGACTAATGGCTAGACCAGGCTCTCGTTAAAAATGCTAGGCTGATAAAAACGATGCTTGTTATAGATTTTTTTCTTTTTTTTTTTCTAATTTTAGTCACAAATATAATACAAGATAGGATAGTAGGATTTTTCATTCAGCAGTGTAGAATGAATTTTTCCATTGTCTTCCATTGTAAATTATTGTGATTATACTGATGAATCTTACTTTTATCTTACCTTGACTGTAGTTCTTTCCGAGGAAATCCCTCCCTTGCCTTCCATCAAAGCTTGACTCTAAATGCAATGCAACAACAACTAGATCGAGCAATCGATCTAAGTATGTCGATCTGTGAAATCCTATTTCTCAGTCATTATTGCCTCTTTTCTTGGACGCTGAAAAAGCCTAGGTTGAATTCAACGCAAAAAATGGAAGATGTCATACGTTATAATACGCTAGTGCAAGTAACACTTTTGTATTTACAAGAAATATAATTATAGCAATATAAAAATGAATCAATAATAAATATATCAAATAAGTTTAATCAGAACTAGTGTACATGTTTACTAAGGGTGAAGGAAAAAACTTGTCCAAACAGCCAGAAGAAGTAACAATCGGTGATGTTAGTGCCGTACGAGAAAGCGAGGGTAGCCCAGTTGTAAATGAAGAATTAAAAGAAGTATGTAGTGCGTAATAATAGAATTAGTCACATATAATACGATGATAATAATAAGAATATTTATTATCATTATTATATTAATAAGTAATGATAAAATCTTAACAAATAATGAAAAATGGAAAAACGTTTTGGTACCGCGTTACCACCGTTCCCAAGGAAGGACCAGCACTTCTAAAAGAAACTGTGACTGACAATTTTATGCTGAGTCTCTGAACCCTTGAAACTGAGTGTGAAAGAAGCTTGATTAGCTGGATGCCACACGTATGACAATAAAAACAGAGGAAGGCTAAAGCTGCCGTTATCGAACCCATTCATGTGTATAGTATATATATGAATAAACAAGTATAGAGCGAAGTGCATCCACCGAATTGCGTATATAACTGTATAGGTTGGGAAAGTGAACGCTTGACTCACAGGCTGCGCGTTCCAAATAACGAGTTGAAGCTAATGATGCAGTAACATGGTATGAAATTGAGATGTGTCTGGGTATCACCAACAAATGGATCGTGACAAGCTTAATCCAGATCACCGCCAACTAAGCTCTGCTACAAAGAGTGGTGAGATTATATTCTAGCTCCACTTCTGCATAAACTTGACAGATGGTGTCTTTTGAGTACCTAGAAGCGAAGGTATACATACCACGATCACATTTGTACGGGTTTGCGCAGGGAAAAGAGACGCATCCATATATATGGAAAGAAGAAATGAAAAAGCTAAAGACGGTGAATGTAAACAAAAATTATATATAAAATAAACTTGAATTATTGTAACACAGGCAGATTGCTTTTCTTTTATTGAATTCTTGGGTGAAAACTGTTTCAAATTCGAGTTTCGAGTTATTTTTACTTACAGGCGTCGTAGATTCTGCACTGCAAAATGTTTTCATACTATTAGTGTAGATCTTAGAAATGTGTTAGAGTTGTGTGAGATGAACCTTAAAACTGTGATCTTCTTTTACGAATAGATAGAAATAGCATACCTTGTTTTTGGCGTCCATCAGTTGTCTTATAAAAATTGTATTATAGTCTTTGTAAATTCTATATTTATACTGGAGGAGTTCGCGGGCTTAGGCCCGCGCTTGCTTTGTCATCAATGCAACTAATTCAAATATGACAAAAATTAGCATTACGTCTTTAAGGAGAAAAAACTTCCCTCTGAAAAGAAGTATTGACACACTTGCAGAATATGAGTCGGGATGGTTCATATTTTATCAACTCCTGAATATTTCGGCAGATACAATTTAACTACGAAATCAAACGAAGTGAAGCATAGGGACGCACCCAAAATTCGATGTCGCTTTTGTATACATTAAAAAAAACAAACAGCTTCACAAAATAGACTATTTAGAAATTCTCAACGGTAATCGGATGAAGCGCCAAAACTAGTCTGTGAACTTACCATTTTAAGCATTCAACTCGAATTAATAACAAGTTTTACTTTGAGAAAAATGACTTCGACACCGAACAGTATTCATCAACTCGATTTCATTTCACACGTACTCCAATTAACCTGTATTATCAGCTAGATGTAGTAAACCTGTTTTTTTTTTCATTTCCTACCGACAGTTTTTAATTATTATCCTGGAAATTCACTTTAATTCTCTGTTCTAGCTGCTAAAGGTCAGGGGCGCCTAGTGGAAGCCGCGTAGCTTAGGATCTGCGTTCGACATATTCTTCTTCTTCTTGTGAAATGATAGATACTCCACTTAGCATTTAGACTAGCCATCCAAACTTGGCCTTTAGATACTAATATATTCAAACTACAGCTTACAATACATGCGTGACGAAAATTATAATGAAAAGTTGTAATTAAATATTTCTTTTTTGTGCCCAAACGGTATTTAGTGTCATTGTCCTTTCAAATTAGAAGCTAATATTTATAAATTTACAGTGAATTCAATGCTCCAGTGTAAATATGGGTCTGTTCTTATATTTAATACTATAAACAAACACCGTCATCTCAAAATCTGCGTAACATCGTTTTATATCTTGGAGAGATGGTGTCTTTTCTGCGAGCTCTATCTTAAAAATGTCCTTATATTACTGTTGTGAGTCCGTATACGGTCCAGATAAAGCATCAATAATATCGTAAACTTATCAATATTTAATAAATCATCTCAGTTAGAATCAATATTTAATAAATCATCTCAGTTAGAATCTGAAGCCCTTTGACTTCGAATCTTGACTCTGTGTGAGATTGAAGATACTACGGCTCCTGCTTAATTTTTTCAAAGACAATCTGTCTAAGCTCACAAAAACTGTAAGATAGATTGTCTAATCAAATTGTCTCAAAAAAGTAATTTGTTGCCAGTACGGTCTACTATCTTCTCGATCTGGAACTCTTTTGTTATGGCCATCTTCTAAAAGTTATCTTTTTGTAATTGAGTTTTTTCTACTGCAATATTTGCAGCAATTAGTTGCAGTCTTTCGTAATCTCATTAATAGTACACACTCGGTCACAGGCGACGAGATCATCCATTATATGTGCATTTCATACCCGAATATTCAGTTTAATTAAATTTAAATAAACTTAATTTAAACATTAATCGCATCGGTTATTCATTTGATATAGCGACAGGTTTTTTTATAGACGATAGGCTATTGATTGCACGCTGTACATCATTCGGGTGTAAGTTCCTGTCTGCTTGTATAGTCATTCTTATGAGAATTGATAACTTATGTTACGCAAATCATGTTCCCGTAAGCACTATCTAAAAAAATGTTTATGTTTGCGTGCAGTATACCGTCAGATATTACTTTAAATGGTTAGCAAAACAAGATGTGTCTGTGCTCGGATTCCAACGTAGACCACCACATGCCCCTAAGTTTAGCACGTAAGCATGCTACTCACTGCGCTATTGTGGTATTGCCTACTAAATCCGAGTCGCCAATTTCAAATCTTCCCGCCATCCAAGCGTCTCTTTCTCTCCATGTATGCATTTTGATGCAGATAGATGTGTGTATATGGGTCGTGTCGACTGCTAGTGATGTAGTTCGGAGCACTCGTAGTCAGCCATATTGCGTATTGACTGTGTCTGTCCGTGTGAAGCTACTTGGCAGCGTGTGTGAATGCTAAGGTTACAGAAGAAAACCTGGCTGTCTGATTGGTGTGCAGTGACCTTTAGCATCGATTGTCGTGTACCATTATTTGCAGTGTTCCAATAAGAAATCTGCTCGCAGAATTCGTTCACAATGGATAAGGATTCGCTAAAAAAGCAGATTGAGAACCTGCGCTATCAGGCGCAGATGGAAAGGTGGCCCTTAAGCAAAAGCATCCAGTCGTAAGTTAAGCATTAGCGTATTTGATATGAGTCATACACTTATACGGTAATAGATAGCCTAGACTAATTGGAAAAATTCATGTGAGTTGTGTTCCAATAGCTTATTCTGCACACTCATAGAGCATATATTGCAATAAGCGAATAAGCTGGCTAGGATAAGCTGCTATAAATAGCATAATTCGAGAGCTATGTTATATAGCTGTTGCTATATATATATATATATATATATATATATATATATATATATATATATATATATATATGGCACTATTGGATTGTTAGCTGCGTTTCTAAATACACTGAACATTAAACTGACCGTTGTAATAATGATTACTTGTATTGCACATTAGGTAGTAAGGATAAGTGAATCATCTTTTGCTATGAGCTTCCAATAAACGTTCAGTCGACTTCCATAACTAGCGTCCAAAAAAAGTCCCTGTTAGATGTTTTAATGGTGACTGTGCCATTACTAATTGGCACTTATCACCTCTGTGCTTGCATCGATTATCGCGTCGGTTTCCATATTGTAACAGGGTGCGCCGCTCTATGCTTTTTGCCAGCCTACGAATGGAATTAGATACGAAGGAAGCATAATGAATATATGCCTTTTCTAAAACAGATTCAACCTGCTAATATTGGATCGTGTAAAATGGTGTTGGGTTATTGCACTGTTGGAACAATGCATTTTTTTGGTAGTGGAAAACTACTGTGTTTGTTTCCAAAGAAATCCCTGTACAGTTCTTAGCATTAGTCTGTCAAATCCGACGCTCTGAATGGTTCTACTATAATAGTGACGTCAAACTGGTCACCTAAGAATAGAGCTAGATCTTCAGTTCATTGCAGTATGCCGTCTTAAATAATTCAATCATACTTATTCGAGTTAGTTGTTAAGTTTTACTTGTTCCAAGCCATCAGCGAATCATGCTAGACAATGAAACCGAATGAGCTAACTGAAAACATTCGTTGCTTTAAAGAATTATATTTTAGATAGTTGTCACGATACAACTGTAGATGACAAGTAGCTATTGTCTTTGAAATTTATTCCGCCATGTTTAAATAATATTCACTCGGATATACGGAAATTTCGGAGCCGTTAATTTTAGTGTCAGCAATCGTTTATTGACCTGAATTACCTGAATATTTACTGGTCTTGCTCTTGAGTGTACATTTTGTGGGATACTCACATACAAGTGAACGATAAATGTATCTCTTGTTATTAATTTAAGCTTACTAATACAAACATATTTGAACCTCTTCCAAATAAAGTTTAATCAACCTATAGTAATTTTATATAATTATAAAAATAAGCCGTTATTTTGTACGCTTGAGGTTTATGGTATTCTTTCAAAGAAGAATGCAAACGTACCATAACATCGGTTGCTTAGCACAGCTCGGTATATTTCAGATGAAGAGTTCACTTAATTCAGTCCTTAATGATCATGATACGATCTGAAGTGATGACGTGATGGGGTTGTGTCGACATGATAATTACGGCTGTTGATGAACAAGTGCAATGAGTGAATTTTAGAGATAACAGCGTCGGAATTATCTATTCGCTCATCTTGCTTGCGTGTTCTTCCTTACACCCAGGTAGTTGTAAAGGTGCAGCTAGCGGAAGAAGAGATCTGGTAAAGCCAATCGATACTGTCTAGGCGTGTGGTATCGCACGCGGGTATAGGAGCTTCACTGAGGTCTGCCGATAACGTCGCATTAAAAATGCACGAATGCTTCTAACTCACTGGCCTACATCAATAAAATAGCGCTGTTGTGACTTTTGAATGCTACCAGCGTTCAGTGTCGTTGTTCTGGGTTACACATTGAATTGAGTCTACAAATCTGTTTGACCAGTTTAACTTATGTTACTTCATGTTTATTTATGTTTAGTTTACTTTACTGCTCGCCCACTCTGTGGATTTGTGTCCAAGCACATTTGTGCTAAAGCCATAAAGACTATTCAGGATAACTAACGCACTGATTTTAGGCCTTGTTTGTTTTAGTGGTAGGTACGTTCTAGTTGGTTGAAGACTTTTTCTTGACAGAGTTACGATAAATTTACTAACGAATAGGTTGTAATCTAATTATTTTGGTGGATTTTGATTTTCAGGATGCGAGATTACATCGAGGAGAATGAGAAAACAGATCCTTTGATTCACGCGCCTGACAAGAAGAGCAACCCTTGGGCTGAAAAAGCCAAGTGTCTCGTCATGTAATTACGCTGTTCTTTCGTCAACAACAATATAAACAACATTTTCGCTCCACCCCAACAGACTACGTCTTTTCCTGTCCAAACGTCAATAATAGCGTCAACAATATAAATTCCCGCGTCCGCTGCCAATGTTCGCCGCTGGTGACCTGCTCAAACGAAATGATTTATTATCAACTCTCTTTGTTTATTATTTCCACTGCGAAAACTATCGCCTTGCACAGATGGAACGTATGCCAGTAAAGAAACACCAGGGCAGTTTGGAGGTCCTTCTCACAAAAAGTGTTCGCTGTGTTGTAAGCCTAACTAGGCAAGCTTTCATTATGCATGACGACGAAAACAGCGCACATAGTGAAACCAGCTACCTGCTATGTGGAACACGGAAGTGAAGACGAATCAAGTAACCGGTGGTGGGAAACAAGCGAATATCGGAGAGTTTCAAGGGCATTGGACTGCCGTCAATTGCGTACTCGTTCTGGAAAGCCACGGAAATGACAATTCTGACCGCTGTAAAAAGCTTAACGCATAAATGGAGATACTCTTTGACAAATTCAATCTGATCTGCTAAACCCGCACACGAATTTTCGCCTTTGTTACAAAGATATATAGTGAAATTTCCTTAGCAAACAACAGAGAGGAATTAAAAATATGCATGTGTTCGTCGGCAATTTATAAACTAAACACCAGCAGAAAATGAGGACGGCAACCGAGCATTTATAGCTCGTTATGTACTGCCATGCTTTGGGAAGGACGCGCAACCATTTACTTCCGATCTTCCATTTTCGGAATCGCACAACTACAACATTTTCACTACCTGAATAGATAGATGCATGTTACTGATTCTCACGTTGAATACGGTTAGGATAAGCATAATTAGCACTCATGTACCATGTATTTATTTTGGCCATACAAATGAACAACGGATTAATATTTTTTTTTGCAATTTACAACAAAGCGGTGCGCGTCCTTCCCCTTGATATCGCTTCAAGCACAGAATGACGATAATGTTTGAAGAAAATATTCTAAGAATTTGACCGCGTGACCGGCGGTACGGCGTAATTATAATGTTTCTGAATGTTCAAATGTGCTATTTATGACAGATATGTCTGTATGGTCTGGTGTAAGATCTGAAAGAGCTGTATGAGCGTGTTCTGTGCTTACGATACATAAACGCGTTTCTCGAACTGGCTCGAATCGAGTAAATATCTCGAATTATTACTCGAAGTGTCAAATACTTGGACTGCCTTTGGGCTACTTTATTGATAGCCTCTTCTTTTTTATTTGAAAATCCGGACGGAATTTAACAGATTAAATACACTATGTTTTGAAAAAAAGCAGTTGAAAATAGAGCGATTTGTGTGAGATTACAGTCGTGATGAGCCATCTTGAGACCACAATGCCATAGTGTTTTGTTGTTTATATAGGAAAAGAACAAGCGAGAAAAGCTAAATCCATTAAATGATGATAATGAAATTTTCTTTGAATTGAATTAGCAATGATAAAGCCGTCCGCCGCCGGTCACTTGATTCGAAAATGAAAAACAAGCGTAGGATCATTATATGAGAATGTATTAGTAGTAATAATTAAGAAAAATGGAAGTATGTAAAGCGTACACAAGCCGCCGACATATTAAATAGGTATCACATGTCTAGGTCAGTTTCTTTAATCCTGCCTCGAGAACGTGGAAGCATTGAAGAAATCGTATAATTGTTTAATTAAGAGTAAAAACATAATCATTTTTTTACAGAACAGAAAGGTATGACGTATGGTTACACTTATCGTCGCCTATTCGGAAGCTAACTAGATGAAATAGTACAAGCCCAAAATACGACGAGAATAATATGTGTTACATTTGTGTGTTATTATAAATCAGCAACTGATTATTTTTATCCTTATCATAAAAAAATTTGAATTGATTATAATGAATAATATATAAATATACGAGTACATACATAGAAACATTAGACGATAAGTTAATTTCTTCAACCTAAAACAGTGTTGGTATATTGAAATGGAATGCATAAAATAAGTGGAAAGCAGCACTGCGTGTCTCGGAAGTGGTTTAAAGTGAAACAGAAAAAAGGTAAGAAAAACTAATAAAAATATAACAGTATAAACATGTTAATATAAAAAGAAAGTAAAACCAAAACATCCTGCACAACTAATTCTAAAGCGTCTTTTTCTACTAGTGTCAGGAACTTATCAAATTCCTATCGAAATCTTTATAAAATTTTTAACAGATGCTTCATAAAGTATTGAAACATGATTCGAATTTTTATTCCTGGCACGTACGTAATTAGCTTTTAATGTAGCAGATTGTATTCTGATCGTCCTTGCGTTAAAGAGTGTTATTTCAAAGAATAGGAATAGTTTTCTTCACACTTGAATTCAATACCTATCAGCAAATCTACATTTCAACCGTTGTCATCGTCTTATAAATTGAAGAGTCAGTTTCACCAACAACATACAGCATAAAACAATTATTAAATTAATAACGACGAGTCGAAGAGTTGATTAGTTACAGTAAAGTAAACTAAATAGACATTGTTCATTGAGTTTTGTGTGCTTTCTACACTACATCAGGAGAAAGAAAACGTAAATGCAGTGAATTCAAATTGATTAATAATTTGAAACAGCGGAACTCTGCATGATAGAGTGAATACAGCTATAGACTTATTTTTTTTGACTAAACTTTATTTTGAGAGGTGACAACCGCTTCATATTTTTATGTTTTAGAGATTTCCACGGGCTGCCTGCTCCAGTTCGATAGCCTCAAAGAGAGCCTTGAAGTTACCAGCTCCAAAACCCTAGAATGAAAAATCTCAATTGTAGATTTACTTTAAAATGCGTAGATATAAAATTTACGTTAAGTTTGCATCTATAATGCAGTATGGCAGGAAAATATAATACGCATTTAACAGAATGTCCGATTGGAATTACGATCTCAAGATATACAACAAAATTTATATTTCAACTATTTTATTCGCGTTATTTTTTTCCTTGGAAGGCTTTATAGGAGCTTGTAACAAAAGGTCGCTCAAACTATTATGTATGAGAGAACAACATCTCGTAATAAAGCTCATTTTGATGATTGCTCAGTTTATACCTGGTGATTCCTCCTCTGTATTACTTCAATAAAAAGAGTAGGACGATCCTGCATCGGACGCGTGAAAATTTGCAGTAGATACCTGAACATAATAAATAAGCATTAAAACATTAAGCAAGAAACCCCTCAAAAGGTAATGCGTACAATTAAGCACTCAACATTTTTAGTAGACACCTATTAGTTCATTACCGGAAATGATTCAACTCTGTTTTTTCTACTAACCGGCTGACATGGGTTGTATAGCGCGGCTAACCTGGTCATTGTTCAAAAACTACCTTAGCTCTGTGACACAAAGACTGTTGAAGGGTGTTGTTAAAAGCGTAAACTCGGTATTTTGCATTTTTTAAGATATAAAGTCGGAGTCCTTACCCATTTTCATCATAGTCGATCAAAATAGAAAGACGCTGAAGCTCATTCAGGTCTTCGGCGACCCGGACCTGAGAAGGCAACAAATTATAATCATATAAGAAGAGTTTTGCCGAATTTTTCGAAAGAAACAGCTACTTTTTTTAAATTTTAGTTTTATAAGGTATTAGTTAAATAGTGAGGGAAATCATTCTATTCAAACGTCAACGTAAACCTGTCGTTACGTAATACGATGTATGCTAATCTCTATAAAAAATCTTGTTCATAAACAAGAAGTCTAAAATATCACATGTATTCAGCAATTACAATAATTTTGTACTTCGTGGGATAATATTTTACTCAAGACCGAGAAAAAGCACAAGCAACGCAAGCATAGAGTAGCATAGACTGTATTATTCTGCATACCAGGAATAGTGCACGTCTCTTACATCGTCTACGTTGGATGTGTCGCAATAACTATTACTGAGTGAAATCACGGGCTGCCATCCCGTTTGGGCGTCGCTGGTAATACACCTCCAGACAGCGTATTCGGTGATTAACTTTTGTTAGGTACAAACCTTAGAGGACTTCAGCTTATTTCTTAGTTGCTCGTAGTAGGTATCTGGGGCTTTGAGGAACGTCATTCCACGAGCGCGCATTTCTTTGATCTGTAAATTTTCGCCAGAAAAACGCCCAATTATAGGCGCGCGCAGTAAACATCACTGCAGAGTTTTCCGCTTGTCGGCGGACAGACGAAAGATCAAGGTGAGATCCCACGTTGTGTCTTATTGAACATTAAACTCTTAAGAAATAAATCGGCTGCGCTAGCTAAAATATCTTTGTAACACGATATGATGGTGGAATACTGCTACATAGTTGCAACGGTTTACTACTTACAGTGTGGATTATATCGTCGGTGTTGAGGGCAATGTGTTGCGTTCCTGAGCCTCCATAGTACTCTACATACTCTTGAATTTGTGATTTTCTTTTTCCAGGGGCAGGCTCATTCACTGGCATCTTAATTGTTTCATCAAAGTTTGTCATTACAATTGACCTGCATGTATCGTAAATCAGTAAAATACGATGGAAACACATCAGTTCACAAGTTCCTACACACAAATTACAGTTCGTACATGCAAGTTCTGATTAAATTTAGGTTGATTTATTCGGTATATTCGCTCTTCCTGATTGTAAAAGCAGCTATTCATTTAAGAGATATGCGTAAAAGTAACATATGGTTAACAGGCTTTAACTGCGACATAAATTCGATTACTATCTGTTTCTAAAAGTGATTCGGGATTCTATACGCAGCAGAAAATGGTGAATAGTAAGTACTAACTACCACAGGAACACATACAATTATGAAGCTGGTAGCCGATGTTTATTCATGGTCGTAAAGTCATATAATTTTTCTTCTTGTGTTACTCACCTGAGCGCTGAGTACTCTGTGTGAATTTGCTTGTCATCGACCGACCAAAACCGATGGAACTGTAGGACTTTTTCGTACCATTCCGCAACAGGAAGCATTCCATTATCCGGCTGATTCAAAACGCAATGGTCAATAAAACGAACACCGCAGGCCTCTCTAATCCGTAACAAAAAGATATAAAGAAATTAATCAATGTTTGCGTAAAACTGAAGTTGTTACAGAATGTTCATGAAAGATATTATAACATAATGATATAAAGACACGATCTGTCTTGCTGCATACTATAAGCAAATTTTTTAAGCGATTGGATTGGAGCGGCTTTATATGCCCTTAGCCGCCATGATAGAATTTTTACGTAGTTCCTCAGGATCCCTGTTAGGTTATTGGATTATCTAATAGAAAAAAAAATACTTATTTCTTTTCCAAATGCTTACCCCTTGCGGACTTTGACAGCAGTATTATTTGGCGTAGCGTCAGGATGCGGATGATAATTAGGCAGGAACGCGCCTTTGTAGTCATTCAGCTCAACTAATGTGTGGCTTGTATCACCGCACTGTAATAAAATAAAATGCTTAATTATGGCGAGACCTAAATTTTTATATAGCTCAATTAACCTGGCGCTCAATCTCAAGATTTGTGCTATATCGAAGGAGTATGCTGGAGCACTTTTGCACACGAAAAGAAACCTGGGTAGAGCTACCCTTATTCAGTCCCTAAAATCTCTTTGCTAGAGACCACGAATCCTTTTTTGACTTGATCCTAAATACGTACGGTGCGGATTGTGGCAAGTCTAACTCTTCCTAAAGTATCGCTCTCTTCATGGATATCTCGAATCACTTCTGCACCCCTTCGTTTGGCGAAGTCCATGATATAGTCGAGATCCTCGACGGCAAACGCAATGTCCTTAACACCATCGCCATGTAATTCCATATGGGAAGAAAACTCTAAAAACACGCAAAGGCAACGTCGTACTAACTACAGCGTAAATTAATTTCAATATTTACTAATGACCGCTTACATCTAAATAAATTGTTCTATATATCCAGAGTAAACATAATTGTCGTACGCATCATAATCAGTGTCGAATTTACACTACTAACATGTAATTTTAGCTCGCAGATTTAATCCTACTAATGTAGATAGAAAAAAAACATAATACCCCGCTAAGAAGTCAATTAAATAAAAAAAATCCTTGCTGTTATTAGCTAACAGTACCTGCTCTAAATATACTGGAAAACTGCATTGGCATTGTGTCTGGCATATTAGCAAGTACCGCAAACATAGCGAATTTCACTCGTCACCGTTAGTCTGTATTGTTTCACTAGAAGTAGTAAAAGTGTATCTGAATGATCATTTCAAATAGCCTGACTTTAATCAATCCGAAATTTCACTAAAATTGTTTGCTTTAGTTGCACATAAGTACCTTTAATGCCACTGGCGATGGAAGTCACAGGTGACATTTAACAGGGCATCTGTCGAATTTTAATGTAAGATCATTTGTGCTTACCTTTATTGCTGGGGTTGAGGGGGCTCTGGAAAACAAATATTGCATCCTTTTGTCGCACAACATGGCTGACGACGTCTCGGTGGCCTAGAAAAGACCATATGAACGATTTGTTATGAAGCCGGGCAGCCTGTTCGAGTAATAATCCCTAAGCCTTGGAACTATTGTGTATCAACTAAATAATAAGGTGTATGTTCCACACCTGTCTCAAGTCCTCTATAGCAAAAGAGTTCGAATCCAAGCTTGTCACAGTAGTACGATGCAGCCTGTTTTGCGTTGCCAACCCAAAAGGTCAGATGATGGAAGTTGAGGAAACGACCCCCCTCGGGCTTAGAGCCCTTGTCAGTATACGAGGTCTGAAAAAAAACAGAAGCCGGATTATGTCGATGTTAAAACGATATCATACGGTAATCACTTCTTATGTATTCCTCTATTTCTTAGATGTATTAATCTAGACAAACAAAGAGATTCTCTTCCTTAATAGCTAAGTGATGAGGGGACATATAAGCGGGGTCCTGTTTTAAGACGAATGGCCAAACGCGTAATTACTGTATATTAAACTATGTTTTTGCATAGCCCTTTTACTACCAAGCCAAAAAGAAAGGCAAAAGAGAAAATACACGACATCGTGACGCTGATGGTAAAATACTCACAAAATGGCTATTTGTGCTTGCAGTAAATGTAATAATAACACGTGTAATAAGGTTTTAGTTCTCCTAGCTCACCATGATAGCTTTTTTTTGCTGTAAGAGTACAGCCTGTGCAACACACGAAGCGTGAAGGATTCCAACAAGAGTCAGGTAACTAAATCTTGTCGAGCATGTACGCACCCGGAGAAAACCACTGCAGTCGAATAAATGCTTTCTTCATAATCGACATAAACCCAAATCTTATTAGTTGCGTTGCCCTCAATCCATGCCAAGTCACAGAGAGGAGGTGTGAATAGTCTATAAACCGAGTCTTTCTTCTTTTTAACATTTTTGCCAACGTCATACTGGTATGAGAGTCCGCGTAAATATCGCCAGCATCGCCACCCATGATACAAGATAGCGACAACGCATAATTATGGTAAGAGTGGAATATCTCTTTGTATCAAAGGAAAAGAAATTAGAGGCAAGTGTAGTAACGAATACAGTTTCACTAAGAACAACGGGGAAAAGGCCTCGAGATAATGTCATCACATCTTCGATGTTATCTCATGAAAAAATATTATCGCTGACCGTCGGCACATGCAACATAGCTGCGAATTACTATGTTGGTTTGTTTTCAATTAAAGGTTTCAACTGAATCTTTTATTATACTGGCTTGGTAATGGAGTTTATAAAATATTGTGTACAGTCAAAATTTGAGGTTTTCTAAAGTGCTTGCTTTCTTGCTGTTATTAGGAAAACGTTCGAAATCGTCCTCAAAATGAATATGATTATCTAAAACGAGCTTCACCCATGTTCAGTTCTGATGGCACACGCATCACGAAATTGTAGATTCCAAAATCCACTGTATGCTTTGAGTAACTCGACAAATTTTAGCAGTTCACAATGCGGTAAAATTGATGTACTAAACGTCAATACACACGCATATGCCTCAACGTCTTTAGCATGTATAGTGGGGGTCAACAGTTTACGTAAACGATTTTGACCATCGCCGCAAATCAAAGTATGTGTATACAGTAAGTCATGAAAAATCAACTTGTCGCAAACCGAGTTAATTTAATACTTTTTAATGGCATGTCACAGTGCTCTGTGTTTTTACATGCCTGGCTCGAATCAGGCCACGAACAATATATAGAGTAGTTCGATAGATTGGTTAAAGGCGAAAAGGAGCGTGACTGTAACAAACATACGTTCCATTATTACTAACTAATTAAGTAACTATGTTGATACGCCTAAGATACACTAAGCTTAGTATCCGTCAGAGCTACAAACAGTCAAGTACGAATCTCACTGTACCGCAAACCCATAGCGATCTATGTTAATATAAATTTTAACACGTAACGGCTTGGTGTGCAGCTTAATAAAAAAAATTTACCTCTCTCATATAGACTGCTGACAATATACGTGAGCAAAAATGAATTAATGTCTAACGAAAATTAACATTATAATTTAAAAACCATATTTTTTTGCAAAATTAACATTCTGTTTCGTATTAGCTCTTTCGATAACAATTTGCGAGAATAATGGAATCCTTTGGATAATGGAATGGAGGTTTGAGGAAACTAACAAATAACATTGTGACTTTCTACACACGTCAATTGTGAAATTCAGTTAAATGAAATAAAATCATTTTCAAAATGAATGATTTTGAATGAAAAACGATGCTTCATAGCTCGGAGATCTTCCTTATTCGCCGAAAATACTAACCGGCCACTTGAGTACTACATCCTTCTCTGGGAAGAAATGGCTTCTTATTCATTCCGTTGTTACTAATATATTGTCGTTATCTTCATTGTAAAAAATGTTGTTCATCAGCTGACTTATTCAGGTGGGAACTGTTTACTAGCAGTTCAATCACCTTAAGGAAGTTCGTACCGTTCTGGCTTGAATAATTGCACCTTTGTTAAACGCAAATTACACTTAAACGAGAGCTTCCACTGAGTAGCACGTGCTGAATACTTCACATGTTTATGTCCTGTATAAGATTCTGATTTTATACAATTTGCTTTTCTACACTTCCAAGTTGCTGAACAAACACTTAGATAACAACAATTGATAACTATGTGATATAAAGTTGAAGACAATCTGTTCTGTATTCAATCCTAGCCATCAGCTAGGTTTACTCACTGATCGCAAATAATTCTACTATATAGAGTACGCAAAGTTTAATTAAGGACACACTGAACACATATGAATAGCAAACCGCTAGCTATGACGCGGCAATTATTTTCTCGAATTAGTTTTAAAGGTGTAGTGGGCTACCATTGTTGCACGCATAATTAGGCACTGCATTTGGGTCACGAAACTACTAAATTGTATTTCGTTCAAAAGATGTATGTTAGACATTGTGTGGGAACAGGAAACCTGGAAGAGTTCAAGTCGTATCATATGAAGTATCGTGTACGCGTTTCCATTCATTTGAGTACAATCGAGAAAAATTCAGTTTTGCAAGTTTGCTAAACTATACCTAGAATTGAGGGTCCTTTGTTAATCGTTTCAGCTATTTTAAGACGTTTAAAACCCACAACGTTACATAATGCAGACATTAGTTCTACTTGTTTATGTGGCATAAATAAATTGACTTTTTCGACATCGTTCGTTCAGTGTAGTGAAAATATATAGGCTAACGATTACCGTTGAGATTACATTTTAGCTGTTAGGGCTGAAACCACTCTACGTCAAAACACGTGAAACGGGGGGCTTCATGCCTTTGCTGCAATGGGAACCAATTTAGAATAGTGTTTGGCATTTTTCGTTTTTTTTTCAATAAAAAAGCTCAAAAGTATTTCTATTTTTATTGAAATTGTGATCACGCATTTATTGATCGACGAGGTAATGATAGCCAACAAAAAGCTGTACAAAGTTTATGTTCCGAATGCGGGAAGTCAGCCTAAACACAGGGTCATAATTTTTTTTTTAGTGTTTGTAACAATATTTGTAGGGTTTAAGTTTTTTTATGTTTTTTTTTTATAACTTTTTTGCATCTGTTCCAATTGAGTTAAAAGTTTCTGGATGGGTAGTGAAAAAGTATGGTCAGTATGAGGCAAAAGTCAGCAGGTGGGAACAATGAGACAGTCCGACGAACCCCAAAGGCCACTCTGATAGAGACCTTAAAAAAGATTTCTACCACTTCTCAACGTCCGACAATCGCATATTGAGTTTTTATATGGTTTGACGCTATTTAACGAGAAGCGAACTTCCTAATTGAACGCTTAGAACGAACCACAACCGTACTTTTAAACACAAAAATAGGCATTAGTGAAATTATAGGACAAGCATTTTAGCTGTGTACCTTCAACTTACGGAATTTTTTTTTGTTTCACGGCTATCAAATGATGGATTTTTCCGTTTTCTAGCATGTCGACGTTATTATATCACCTTTCGTAAGTGTGATTTACAGGAACTTGATCCCTCATGAACAAGCCCAAGCATAAGGGAAAACTGGTTATTTCGCAAAGAATTACGGCCTTTATTTGTTGTGTAGGGTTGATAATCAATAGATTTATTGTATATAGGTGTTTTTTTTGAGAGTCTATTACGGAGCTGGAGGGTCTTCGATATTCGTCTCAGCACCTTAAAGTAAAAACTTAGTATGTATGGAGTATTCCTTCAAATCAAATATAGCAAGCGCAAAGAGCTTTCTTATTAAATTTGACTTTGCTTACCCTGGCTAAACGTTTCCATGTTTGCGCTATACATCTGAGATCAAATTCGGCGCAATTTCCCGCCAAAAATGCGACCATGCGTCTGCTACAGCCGAATGCTGTGTTCGATTTACATATATGGGGCAGTGCATGATCGCTTTAACTGTGACTTGGTGTAGAATTTGCTTAGGTATAATCACGATATTAATTATAACGCTAGTCCTTCTTGGGTTATTTTGTATGCAGTTATTCGTAATGGCGACTCGTAAGAAAGGGAACTCTCGGACCAAAATCAGCGAATTGCAGGTGCAAATTGCCAATAATAACAATGACCCTCTTGATCAGCTGATTGAATTTTGTAAGTATCAATCTGGAGCAAAAAAGCGACCCGTTACATTATATTATTACTAATGTCATACCATAATATAAATCGAGCTAAATGTAAAACTTGATAGTTTATTGATGTGCCGGATGGGTTTCTGCTTTATTAATCTTATAATGTTTATGACCATGCGCGCCACTTTTGAGGGGATCCTGTTGGAAGGAATCTCTCACAGACTTGAAAAAAGTTCTGTCGTTAAATTAAAATTGCAATAATAGAGTGATGAACAAATACTTACACGTTCCGTATTTCGAACATGCAAGTAGAACAGTCAGATGAATGTTTAACGTTTTGTATGCTTACGTTTTTTTTGTACTGGCTAAGATTTGGTCGAATGTGAACATATTGTAGCTGCCAATATCGTTTTGTTCGATTGTTTTATTATTTAAATCAACGTATATTTTATGTGCCATTCTATGAACGAACAGCGATGTGCAAGTTTCAACGCGACGACCTCCGGTTAACAATTAGCCGATGTCGGGCTCTGGATGCATCTAAAGAACTTCGTGATTTTGTGTTCCTCCTAACAGAGCTAAACATGCGCGATATGTACGAACAATCCGACTGGGGTTGGAACGCGAGTCAAAAGAAGAAAGAACTGTCAGACAAAACATCCCAATATCTCATTGTCAAAGGTGGGCTTCTCTAGTATTGTCCAACTCTAACGCTAAGTAATAACGACCATACAAATATAAGAATCGTCTTCAATTCCACTTTTTAAGTGAGTTTTTCATTGAATTTACCAACATATAAAAGATTTTCTAGGCAAATAAAAGTAACAGTTGGCGAAATCGTTTACGTTACGCGATCCCATTCAGATTCAGCCCACTTCAATAAATTCGAATCAATTTGTCCGCTACGTAGTTCTAACGTCGTTCCTATACATAGCGGCTGTAACGAAGAATTACGTCGGTGCTAAATACTGCAGAAAATACACTATAATAATTCATATGAATAAAAAATGCTGATTTGCGCTTGACAAAATTCGATGAAGGACGACGTGGTTGAATTCATGCTTTCTTATTATTATATTATTCGGTTACAACCTACAGCAGTTCCTTGGCTGTTTTTTCTGTCGTAATGCGTAAGTCAGTTTTTTAGCACGTCAAGAAATGATAGTGGCTTCTACTCTCTATTGGTCATATGATGATAGAATTATTCCTATATTTGCACCTCCAAAATAGTAAACTCTGAACTTAGTGACTTTTAGTAACATGCGATAGAGAATAATTATTTCCAAATAACTCCGTTTCAGATGATTTAAACAACGACGCGGTAGTAGGCTTTGTTCATTTTCGTTTTGACATAGATTTCGATCGGGCTGTGCTGTACTGCTACGAAATCCAGCTCGTTAAGGCAGTTCAGAGGAGAGGCATAGGAGCACATCTAATGGATATTCTTTATAAACTCGCCGAAAGGTCTGTAATGGTAGAACGGGAAGTTAAGTCAATTTTAAACGCTCGTAGTGCTTCAACCGTTTAGCAGTATGCTGACAAAAGTTTGAAAGGCATTCGTACGGTAACAGAAACTCCTAGTTCAGAAGTGACGTTTAATGTTTGGTCTAGTGCGAGTGATCACTCTACGAATTGATTATTATGTTGTCACAAAAATCTATTACAAATATGATGAGTTTTTTACGGCTCAAAAAACGAGCGTTAAGTGCCTTATATCGTACTAGAAGGTTGGCTGGTGCTATACTATTATCTAATTGATAACTCCTATTATATTTATTTTCATTTGTTTTTCTTTCAGGTTTAAAATGAAGAAAGTAATTCTTACTGTCTTTAAACATAATCTTCAGGCCTTGAATTTCTACACAAAAAAATTAAATTTTCGGCGGGATACGACGGACCCAAAGGAGAACCATATAGATTACACAATACTTTCGAAAAAAGTTGAAAAGGATTGATCTCAAAACAATTTTTATATGTTTATATGAAAGAACTTTTAACAAATTGTGTATAAATATGGAAAATAATGCATGTAAATAAAAATTATATTATTGTGTCAACTCTAACCACTGTTTACTCAATATGTTATGTATTTGAGGAGAAGTGGTACACTAAAGGAGCACTTATACGTAATAGCTTAGCCAATCTCACAATATCATGTGTCGACGAAGAAACGAAAACTAACTGCGTGCCAAAAGAAGTAAAACAACAAAAACTGCACGTTGCTTCTAGTGTATCAACTTTTTTTTATTACAGATTAAATAAGAGCTTGTTCTTTTTAATAACATACTTCTTCAAAAAAATGGTTTTCTAATTTTATTGATTATCTTAATTAATGCACATGCTTACAAACACTTTGTTGATGCTTGCGTAATGTGCTTGGATGCATCTCGTTAAAAAAATTACAATGTTATTTAACTTAGCTGACATATCATATGGAAATGATATTGTAAATTGAAATATATTGACTTCTTAGATAAATTCGCTTCTCTACAGCTCGAACTTCGTCACCAGCTTCGAACCCTGTATGTGGAAAGAAGAAAGAAATGGCTTTGAATTTTGTTAGCTATTATACGATGTTAGTTTTAAAAAGTGCTTCATAATGGTTTGACCTTTCAAAGCGGAAAGTAATTTTATATTTCGTAATGCTTATCTACAACTCCAGCTTACCATAGAGTGATTAGCGTTAGATCTTAATTGTCGACTATCAACTAGCTTCCAATATTGAGCTAATTTGTGAATGTAGTTTTTCATGAAATTAATTCTGTTTAAGTGTGGCTTATAAGATCTTAAGACGAAGTTCGGTGGTATTCGTTTTGTGGCAAGCCTCGAATCGGCAACCTCTGAGTTTTGCAACCTAAAACTTCGCCATATAAGCGTTCGTGCAGATAATTATTATAATAACTATTGTCGTGGTATCTCTAGAATTCAGAGAACTTGCTATGATTTTTTTACAACTTGCCATTTCAAACGACAGTTGCAAACGACATCCGCCATAAGTCGGAATAGATCCTTCACTAGCTGTGTCATATCTTTATACTTTTGAATTGGATTTTCGGTAATTGCTTTCGATCGTATCGCAAGTTTTATTTCTTTTTCGGTTAACCTTTTCAGTTACTCTTTCATTACATTTGCATAGAATTTGATGTAAACCATTTGTTCGAACTGTTTCATCTTGCTGACTTTGTAAAAAACGTTGCGCGAGCGCTTTCTTAGCAAACTGACTAGAATTACCCTGAACAAAGAAGAAACACCTGGTGAACCGATTTTACCAAAAGGTAGGTCTCTGATTTAAACCCTGTTTTCTAATTTATTATGCCTAGAGTCTTAATCTTGACAAGTACATTCGGCGTCGTTATATTTGTTACTGAAACTCACATGCTGCTTATTTATAACACAGGCTTAAAGTTTTGTCGTATTGAAGAATAAACTAATCTTTGAAGGTGAATTATGGGCATCTGGCCTATAACTTCATTGCTTCAAGTAAACTCAGCTAATATCAATGGGTATTTTTCTTAGACAAGACTTGAATATGCTAAGAAAGTTAGTACACTTCGATATTATTCGCGTCCACATAAGATAAAATTAATATCCGCTAATGATTTTAGTTCCAGTAATCCATTGGTGAGATAGAAAAAGCGTGATGTCCCGGCACCGCATATCGGTGTTCCTATTTTCATCCACATGGGCCGGCTCGCGGCTATATCGGACCGATTCGAAGTATAGTAACAATTATTACATGATAAGTAAAACTATTGAAAGTGGAATAATATTTCAAGTAAAAATATTATTATGCTTATTATGTGGTTAAAAACCATTTCAGGGAATCATTATGTAGTAACAATCCTTGTTTGAAAAAACTCGACGAATTTGTTAACTTCTTTTTAATAAGTTGTTTTGTTCTTGAAAGCGGACACCTTTATATTGACTGAGATATAAAAATAAAATAAATATAAATCTACATAATAGGGCTGATTCGACTACTCAGAGAGTTTACTTATCAAGCTGAAATAAATCCACATAGCTTTAAGCTCTGATGCTAGTGTATATGTGGTGACTAACTCAACTCGTACTTTAAGTGATATATTATGTATTGGCAAGAAAGTATGGTTTTTGAGTTCGATGTAAGTGCTATTATTAGACCTTTTTGTAGCCATTAGTTATCATAAATCTATATAAGTTTCAAATCGGAAACATTTACTAGGACAAAAAAAAGAATGTAGGTAACTGTTGCAGCTAAGAGCAGCAAAAAGTATTCGCTCAGCCAACACTGCATCAACCTGCACTTGACATGACGATATTGTCTGCTGTAGTACTCTCGCAGCCTGTAATGCCGACACGGAGGCGATTTGTTAGCTGCTTGTTGCACTATCATTGTATATCTGTTTTTAGTAGGCTACGAAATCCATTTGTCAACGAAAAATCATGCTACTAAGAACAACTTATGATTCAACTATATAACGATGGTCAGTAATTCATAGTTTCTTATCAATTTTACAATCGATAAGGAGGGTCGTGCAGTGGTTCACAGTAATAACCAGATAACTAACTGCACGATAAAGCATCAAAACTACTATTGAAAGAACTTCAATGATCTCTGACGGATTCGCGAAAAGAAACATATATGATTCAAAAGTACAGTGTAAGGTCTCCTCTGTAAATTTCAGGGCGTGAGGACAGTCTTGTCTGCAACAAGATGGATGCAACTGGACCAGCAAAATATCACCCTAGAGCAAATGTACAGTTGTTATAGCTAGTGGAGTCCATTTGCAAATCTAGTGGAGATGCTGTCCCCTACTAATTAATGAAACCCTGGGTCCTCAGGTACGGTTAAAACAGGTGGAAGTAAGAGGAAAAAACTACTTCTGAAGTAAGTACGAAAAAAACGGAGTTCGCTATCTGACTCGCTTTTCGTACTGAATGAATTATATATATATACATATCTTTTTTTAGGCTGTGAGAAGGAAAACTGGTGGGCTTCAAAATTAAATAATTTTTGAACTCTCTCGGGCTGCAATGGCGATTTTTTATATGTTGGGGATACTCTCTTTTATTTTTGTGTACGGTCTCAGTACTCCAGTAGCTTCTGAACAGCTATATATTTTTCATATGCGTTCTTATGTGTAATTTGTTTATCTACGGTTTTTCATAGTAGTAAATCGTGAGATATCTTTGCCCAGAATTTGTTCTTCCTAAGATACAGAAAACATCGCTATTACATAGATCATTAGATTGTTATAATAAACAGGTAGAAGTGAACGTTTTTTTTTTTATTTAGAAGATATTTCTTTATTCGACCTAGGAAGAAACTGAGGTATGGCGATGAGGCCTAGCGTTGACTTGTGTATTTCCGACTGCTGTGCCACCGGTCCATGAGTCTCTTCAAGGATTAGAGGTAGCGAACTGCGTTAATTGTTTCATTTTCGGTGAGTATTTCAAGGTAAAGGATGTCGTTGATGTCCACTGCAAACGCTACCATCACCTTACGTTTGAACTCATTCGACAATACCGCCAAGCTTGATTTCTTTCCAGGGCGACATCATTCGTTAACCTGACCTCTCCAGCCGACAGTAGAGATTGAACCATGCCTCGTTTTTGTTGATTAAAGTTTTGCAAACCGCACGTGGCATACACCCTATGCGTTGCTAACTGTCTTGGAGTCCATTCATAGGAGGCCCATTTTTTATTCAGTTTTCACATATTTAATATTTGGGCTATAGTTGTATAACACATTACATGTAAAGTATTAGCTTACGGATACAACCTTTAGAGCTTAGCCTCTACTTTTGTGAAAAACCTCCTTGATTGCGATAATGCGTTCCTGCCCTTGGATTGCGCCATCTGGTCCCTTCCTCGCTAATTTACATTACTCTAATTTTCATTCTTGGAACCATTTACATACAATGCTTTTGCTTGAGGCATTTTTACCTAATGCCTTCACCAATCGTCAATGAACCTCCACAGCGCTGTAATCTTCGAGAAACATAAACTTGACCTATGAATATTGATTCTCAAGATAACCGGTGTTCACTCATGAGTTTCTAGAAGACTGAAGTATTTACCAGCCAACTTTTCTGTCTACACAGTTCAAAAGTGACTTAATTTCAAAGTCCGACGAATTCACTTTTTACCACTATATATATTTATATAGCCTTTGATGGTCATAGAAATACTAACAATAACACCACCATGGCATATAATTGTTCAAAATTAATAAATTTTTCAGTGCATGTTTTTGCATCATGGCAGTTCCTGCGCATATATATGTAATACTTCAACTTCATATGTCTACATTTGGTTAGACCCCTAATGCCGCTATTGCGTAATTAATTATTGCTACAATTTTTTTTATAGTCATGGATGAACATGCCTATTAATTAATATAATATACTCCCTTTTTGTAGCGAGAATTCTGATAGAAAAATCGCACATCTATACACACAATATTAAACATTCTTTACGAATGTTAAGCATGCTTTTGCTGGTTATAGCATTTACCTTGACTCAGTGTGCGTTTTTTCAAAGTCTACATTTTTTGCAAACTTACCCCATGATTATGCACACGAAAATAGGAGATCTCAAGCAATAAAGTAGAAATTGTCAGCAATTGGTGACAAAACGGAAGCATAACACGTCTCATTCACTTGTTTTCATCAACAGACCGAATCAGCGCGGCGCCAATGATGCAAACAATTCGTTTGAAGGGCAGAGATTGCCAGAAATAATTTTGTTACCAGAATTTGGTATTTGTTAAACTAAATTCATTTTCTTTTTTTGTCATCGATATTCAGTCGTTCGATCGTTCCATGCCACACTGCGCTAGACGTGAGCAGAAAAGTGGCTACTTTGAAAAACTTGCATTTTCACTTCCTCCCCCCTCTGCGCAAACTCGTCCTGCTTTATTCATAAAAATATTAATATCGTTAAGCAACGTTACGAACGGTGACAAGCCCTACATATAATAAGAATAATATTTGGGTTTAGCGAATTTTAGAGCCATTATCAAAATCATTTTATTACTTCATTTATCA